AGACTTAAATAATGCTTCATATAATCATCACCTACATAAGATTCAAAGTTCACACCAACGTTTCAGGAGAAGAACATCATATCTTTAATTTCACTACTGACACGACAACGAACACTTGGAGGCAACCTTTTGGAAGCATTTAATTTTATCTGGAAAGCTATAGAACGGGAACTAGTTTTAGCCTGTCGAAGGCATTTAATCTGATTTGCAGACTCCCACTCTGACTGCACCAACAGCTTGCATAAATATCGACAACATCTTGGATCTAACTTCGGCACAAACTGCGACGTTGACCCTTTTCCTTCAGACGTTCGAAGAGCACAAGTAGAGGATAGAGCTCCCGTAAGTGTTGTTGGACGTCGGCATGGCCACAGAAGCTTCGCTGCGTGTCAAACTTATCCATCAGTGTTCAAGTTAAGCACGTGGGAGGACATCCATCGAGTGTTCTAAGATAAAGGATGGCTCAGATCAGAAACACCGGAAGAAGATGAATGCTTTTTCCCATCTCCCTGTGCCTGAGTTAAGACATAATTATCCGCAGAGGTACAAGACCTCGCGGAAGATTGTCAATATCATAAAGACGATGCCTTCGATCTTACTATACAAATAGTAAGCATGTGAATATGTGCTGAAGGGTACGTGACATTACATTTGTGCTGACGTTGTTGAATCCCAATCATTCCTTTCCTCCTATTCACAGACACATATCTCGGAAAATACATGATGTCAATGCAACCACGTCATTCACGCATCGCCCCATACAGCCGCCCTAATCATTGAGGACGGGCGTCTTCCACTTCTCTGTGTCTGCTCAATCATCAACCATTACGTCCAAGTCGGTGTTGGGTTGCTTTGTTGGAGTACAATTGTTTGTTCATATGCATGGTCTGTACAACGTGCACACTTGGCGCATTGCAAGGAAAGAGAGTTGTTTTCCAAGGGGGTACATTTGTGGCTTCAACAAAAATTCTATGGTTCCTACTGCACTGCATTGTGGAGGATCTTTTGGAGAGCAGTAATTTGTCGGTGTAACACATCACGTTAACATTTAAGATGATGATAATAATAGGATCATCACATCAACTTAAACCCTTGTGACCATATTAATGTGGATCATCCATCCATCAATTGATAGGACTAGTAACAATGGTCCCTCACGAGCATTGATAGGTCACCTTTTACTCCTCCTGGTCCCAGCTCATGTCCCTTCCGCTAATAATTGTGCTACAGGAAGTCTCAAATCAAGTTCAAGTGAATCGCATGGTCTGCATTAAGTATCCTTTTGGTTGATTCTGAAAAATGCGATAGTGCAAACCCGTAAGCAATTGCCTATCAAATCAGAGACTCCTGCCGACATAGTGATGGAGAGAGTGATGTTCTTTCAATGTGTGAGCACTGGGTTGGACTTTTACTGACATTGAGTGTGTACTGTCTTTCTCTTGATAAGATTTCGAAAATGCTATCAAACAACAACAGTTGTCGGTAAGAATTAAAATGTAATGGATGCTGTTGCTACTGCTATGAATCATCACTGCTTGCGGTTGGTTGCCATCATCACTCACTCGAGTCCCAAATGATTCGTATGAAGACACCAGAAACCATACGCACCAAGAGACTCAAATCATGGTAATAATTCACACAGTGGAATCACCATTAATTTTTACTCCCTTACAGCTACTACATGTAACCCTGTTTCTTCCATCATTATTCTCAGCAAGTACATGGTCTTATTATATCAGCAAAATCACCTCCTGCTAACGATGTTTCGAGCCTCAACTCAATTTCGTGATTTTTTAAATATTTATTTAAATATGTATGAAGAAATGTTTACTAATTTAGTTGATAAAGACCTTGATTGATTATTGTAAGGTTCTGATTCGAATTTCGTTTTCACCCTTTATCCTTTCTGAAAGAAAATAAAAAATCATTTCTTCTTCTAAATTACTTAAAAGCAAAATCTACTATTTAGGCTTCACCTGCGGCTTTGAACAAATACTGTGTCTTCCACTCTGTTTCTTTCTGAAATCTCTCTAATTCTACCAAAGAAAATTGGCACTCCAACTATATATTTTTTTCATGTTTGAATTCCTTTTCTTTCAAGTAATTTGGTTGTTACCAAACCTGTATGTTTGTTTCATCAATCACACAACAGAAGTGCAAGTGATGTGGTACAACCGGTGGGCTTGGAACAGCGTCGACATCTCTCTGCTGAAAACGAGTCATCTGCAATACAGGATTTGGGTTCAATATGTATAGTTATATCTTTACAACAACTCAATCTCCATAAGATATCGTTAGATCTTTACGACATCTCAATCTGAATTCACCTGATGTCATAGTTATTAGCTATCTACTTTCGACTCTGGATTTGTACCGAATCTAAAGCCACATTGCAGCCACAATCGGAGTGTAGTTATATATAGGGCAATGCGGCTTTTGATCACGCATGTAAAGGTCAACTAGAGAAGCTCGTGAATTGCAAGTGAATTGTAAGTGATCACTCATGGAATATATTTTCTTCAATAAAAGAAATATATTAAGATTCAATCGTTCTATGGTATGACCTAAGAAGCTCGTGATACAGGATGGTGGAGAGCTCCACTGGAAGACACAACGAATCAATCCAAAGAGAACAGTAGTTTTATAGGCTTGACAGCCCAGTTTACCGCCCTGTTGCATTCACGAAAGCAGTGAGTAATAGTATACGACTGTACATGGTTCAGCATGTCTTTGATGTCGTGAATAGTATGAGCAATAGCCCGAGGAACTGCCTCATTCCCATTCAGCACATCTACTATCGTAGAAGAGTATGTTTAAATTGATAAATGGAGATTTTCCTTGAACTTACTGTTTGTAATCCACGTTTAATGGCTGCTGCTTCACATTGCTCAGCTGACTTGTTTTGAGTGTATTGCTGTCCAATTGCTCGACACTCTGATCTCTGATGATAAATCTCATGCCTCCATCCTGCAATAAGGAAGCACAATTAGTATTCATTTTTAACCAAGCTATAATTTTTGTCATTTGAATTAGTCAGTCTATTCCCTTCGGATATGGATTCTCTAGCACAATAGCTAGTATAAGACAATACTTGTGTCCAAGACCATAAAATGAAAGATTTTTTTCTTTGATTAAAATGTTCAGCGTATTTTTCGAATAAATCACAACTGGTTTGCTATTGCAGTCTATAGCAGTTTGCGCAGCCCCAGACTTGTTCTTTCTTGAAGCCAATCCCAGTGTTCCAGGATGCTTTATAAGAGAATGAGAAGTTGAAAGTAATTTCCCAGAGATTCCATTATATATATATATATATATATATATATATATATATATATATATATATATATATATATATATATAGGGCATTGGAAAAAAAGATGGTCAATAGTTTTAGGTACTCAAAGGCATAGGGAACGAGTAGATTGAACATTGAAACGAAGATGTAGTAGATAGTCAGCACTAGCAAGTAATTTCCAATTCCAACTAGATAGATTGATGATATTTAGGAATGTGAATTTGACCATATTTTGCATGAATAATTTTGTTCTAACGATTGTTATCATTACTAAGATATCAAAGAATTATGCGAGTGACCGTAAAGTGGGTTCTGAAGGTTGAAGAAAGTATGCTAAGACCACCATGATATTTATGAGAAGTAACTAAATTAAAATGAATAAGATGTAAGTCTTTTTTTTCTGAATTATTTTTTCATAGAAAGTTTTTAATCAATGTTTGAATTTTGTGTATGAAACCTTCTTGAAGCCAAGTATCACTTAATAGTGTGTGAAGCGATGGAAGTCAAAAACAGATTTTATCAAAACTAAATGATCAGCTTGAGATCAATGATTGCATTTCCATGTAACAAGTTTAGTTTAGATTTTGATTTTATTAATGAGTTGATCATGGGCCGATCGAGAAGTTGCATGTAGAAAGAACATGAAATATATACTTCAACAAGAACCAATGGGTTTTGGCCCATTACAGGACAACTTACTCTCGTTCATCTTGAAATAAAAGGTGACAAACCTTTTTAGAAAAGAAGTTACAGAGTAAATAAAACTACACATGTCAAATTGTCATGCTACAGAGTAAATAAAACTATCATGATACGATACAAGATCATGATAGAGGGAAACATGGAATGACATCAATGCATTTCTTACATCTTTTTAATCAATTTATGATTTGAGGATCAGATTTGATTGATTGATTTGATTATATAATTTGAGTGTATTATTGATAAAAATCTCTTTCTTAAAACTTTATAAATATATATTATCTCAATGTAATCAATCTCTTTCATAACGTATTCCTATATTCTACGTGATATTAAAGCTTATTTGCTTCAAAACAAGATTTTCTCTAACGTTTCAATAATAACAATCAATAAAAAATCATCTGCTAGCTCAGTGATAAAATTAGACACACAATAAAAGTTTGTTGGTCTCGATTAAAGCCTATTGCTATATCCAATTGGCCTCAAGTAAATATCATTACTACTTTGACTTTTTATCTAACTAATTAGATTGTCAACTCCGAGCTTCTCATTATATCACTTCTAATTTGTCTACTTTTCCACCAACTTACCTTGCAATGCTTGATGAAACAATACCCTTGCCACCATAAATGATATTTTTGTTCTCTTCTCAGCTAAGTGACATCGAAGTGTATCAGTCTAATCAAGTATGTGTTTGTAACTATTTACTAATTCTCATATCTCCAACACAATTCAATAATACCATCGAGTTTAAACATCACATGATAACACGATTCAAAAATGTTATCTTTAAACTATATTAAATCCTTGACCTTCATGCTATCACAAGCTCTCCACAATAGCATAAAACCATATGTGAAAAATACGATGTCCTACTCCATAATATCACATCGACCATTATATTATTTCATTGCACACAAAATATCCAAGTGTAAGTGGATATTTCAAATTAAGCAAAACCCAAATGGATCTATTACTAGATATAAAGCACGTCTAGTGGTCAAAGGATATCACCAATTATCAAGTATTGATTTTACAGAAACATTCGGTCCAATTATTAAACCAACGATAATTTGGCTCATCCTAAATTTAGCTATCACTTAAAGCTAGCATATATACCAACTAGATGTTAATAGTACCTTTTTTTAAGTGATCTTAATTGATGATATCTTAATGTAACAACCTCTTGGTTTCATCCACCCTTAGTATATAAGCTATATTTATAAACTATGAAAATCTATTTTTGAATTTCGCTAAGCTCCAAAAGCCTGGTATACTAAACTTGACTTATTTTTTTATATCAGTTGACTTCGTCAACTCTAAGTTTGACACATCTTTGTTTCTGTAAGAATAAAAGGGAAGTATTATATATTTATTAATTTATGTAGGTGACATTATCATCACAAACAATAATGTCATGAATATAAAATAATTTTTTTAGCAATTGACAAATCGATTCTCCATCAAAAATTCAGAAACCTTAAGATTTTTTTGATAGTGGAAGCAACATTTTAATCTTTTAGATTTTTCCTATCTCAAAAGAATAACATTCAAGATCTATTATCAAAGATGAATATACATAATGCTAAAGAAGTCATCATCTCACTCTTCATTATTAAATCACTCAAATTATATGTTAGTAGTCCTACTATAGATCCCGCACTATACTTATAAGTACTTAGTTTGTTATACTATTTATCTCTCATATGTCTAGACATTTAATTTGTAATCAACAAACTATCATTCATCATGTATTAGTTTACACTAAAATATGTACAGTATCTCAAAGAAATTTTTAGTTATGAATTTTTTCTTCGTAAATACTTATCACAAGTTCAACTTTATATCAGTCTATATTATCTTCTTCAAACAAATTTAATTAATTAAAATTTAAAAAAAAATCATAACATCCACACAAATCCAATCATCACCTATCTTTCAACTTGCCATCTCCACTATCTCAACTTCTTCGTACCAAATCTTTAGTGTGAGACTTAGCAATTTGAACTCACAATTCAGATTTAATAAATTAATGAGTTAATTATACTATTATCTCGATAAGTGGTAACCACGTCAAATCTCCATCGAACAGCACTTCCTCACACACCGCGTGATAGGATAGACGGCGATCTCAGCCGCGTTATAGAACAGACGGCGATCTCAGCCGTCGATTGACAGAAAGCGCCCGAAAAAAGAAGAAAAGAAACCGCCCGAGAGAAAGTAAAAGCCTTGTGACGCCCGACAACGGATCACACTCTGCTAATTAATCTGGATCGTTCGTAGTTCCATAAAGAGATCCCGACCGTTAAAGGAATAGTACTCGTAGAAGTTTTTAGCGGTAGGAAGAAAAAGGATTATATAAGTAAATAAATAAATAAATGTCCCCTCCGTCTCGCCAATATCTCTTCTGTCCTGTCTCGTTTTATTTGGTATTGGGGGAGTGGACGAGGGAGGCCCATCGAATCCACTTGGGTTTCTTCGCCGATAAGGATCGGTGGTTGGGGCTTTGTTCTCGTCGAGTCCGGTGTGGTGAGAAAGATCAATCGTTGCTGGATTTCTTTTTTTTTTTTTCGTTTTCCCTTTGCAATTTATTTGTTGGGGGTTTCGAGGAAATTGATGATAACATGCTCGTTTTCTGATGCTGATCTGTGGAATTAATTAGTCCGATATATTACTGGAGCTGTTGTTAATATAGGCAATTTGTTAATTATTTGTTGTTTTGGCTATGATTTTTGTTACTTCTTTCGTTTGACCGATTTCTATCTTGCATCGAGTTGCTTGCTTGTTGAATATGTGCAATAAGAAGGAAAAATGAGATCGTACCTTATTTATTGAAATCATCCTTAACTGTGAATCTGATGGTTTGATACACAAGAAAGCCTCTTTCTAGGTGATGATGATTCTTTGTCTAAGAATCCTTACATATATGTTCTCCGATCTAAGAAATGATTGCAACAGACAAAGAAAGATCTGTATCAAAGTCATATTTGGGATCATCTCTTTAGGGTTCTGATGGTAGGCTTTCTTTGGATGGTAAAGTTGATGGTTGATTATCCGCGTTTATACTTTGTCAGACTTACACGGAACAGATCTGTGGGGTACGTTGTGAATTTTAAAGATTCACTTTGAGTGCTGTCTAATGTGGATCTTATGTTATTTTTCTGCACTGAAACATCATTCTGAACCATGTTGATAATTTGCATCAAGACAGGTGAAAGAGGGTCGTCTCATTTGTGATATAGGATGCGATTTCATATGGGTAGCATTTGTTTGCCTGCGTTTTGAAACGCCTAAAAGTAGCAATTGCAGGCAAATGCGACTAAGATAAAGGAGGATGCTGTTGCCCAGACAGGAAGGACTAGCAATTATGCAGGACTAAGGTAGAGGAATAGAGGGGCACAATGTGTGAGGAGGCCACGTGTGAGAGGATGATATCTAAGATTTTATTACATATAGTTCAGTCCGCAAGTGTGTCATACAGTATTTCAAATCATACGCCCACTTTGCTGCATGTAGGGTTCTAGTTGTGTTGGCACAATACTACATTGGGTTTACTTGCAGACAATCAAATGCTTGCAAAATGAGCTCCTTGCTGCAAAAGCACTTGCAGGTAGCCCACTTACAGGCAAGCAAATGGCCCAAACAAGGCCTCATGTGTTATGAGTAATTTTAACAATGTGTTTGCTGTTGCCTTGCAGTAGACCAGTCATGCCAGATCCGACTTGATGTGTATTAAATTCAGCACAAGTTTTGGTCGAAATTGTATTGGCAGGATCGACATCAAATATTGTACTCAATTTCTGAAACCCAGTTGTTCATGGAGATTGAACTTCTTGGATTTATTTGATTGTTAATTTGTATTGATAGAGTTCAAGTTGTCAAAGCTGTCATGAAGTCAATGTTTGATATAGATCATATATCACATCCTAACATACTATATAAAAGAAACTGATGTGGTTGGTGTATTCTTCATCATGTTTTTGTTTTTAATTAACATTATCAATAAATATGATTCTGCTTATCAGTTAAGTGTGGTTCACTTCTTTAGACCATGGTTCTATCTTTTTCATTGATTGTCCCTGGTGGATTATGAACAATAATAACACACTAAACTAATTGTTCTAGATATCCCAATTTTTTGGACAATCTCTTTGATCTGTAGTAGCAACTAATAATATTTACATAGGCATCCTACTTTGCTTTTCTACATTTGTGGTAGTCAACTCTGGACATGTTCTGTTGAAGGAAAACTTTGAATGTGTTTTCTTTTCTTCTGGATGCTTGTATTTATCCAAGAAGATGTTTTGTTCTATGTTGTTTCAAAGATGGCTTTCTATGGTTCTAATGGTAACTGGAATGAGACTATGCAATTTTTATCCTTTCCTCTCTCATCTCAGCGTCCTTTGGATGCACGTGCTTTATTCTTGCATTATAACCTGGCAATTTATTCAATATAAATAGACTTTTGAGGAGATTTGAAGTGTATAAGGTGATTCTCTTTTTGTCATATAATTTGTTAATGAAGAAAATTTTGAACTATATACAATGTGGGAATCCTGAATGTCACCATAACCAGTCCCTGTAATTGATATTCTCCTCATAATTGGTGCTCCTAATTGGTTGGTCTGTTGGGAAAGAAACATCTTTTACACTTTTGATTCACTTTCACAGCATTTCTATATTGTCTATAATTTAAAATTTTCATTTACATAGAGAAAATTTTAATGGGTTTTATTACCTAGCAACAATTTTTTTGGATTATTATTAGCAAATATTCCCTTTATATTATTCTTCAATGTCAACTGATGTTATCGCCACTCATAATTTTCAGTTTTTGGAGTTAAGATTCTTTGCAAAGCCAGTGAAACTCTGTTCTCTCTCTTTGAATCTCAAAAGCTAAGTGTTCATGTCTGATCTTGACGTCCATATTCCAACTGCATTTGGTATGCTTGCAAAAGACTGTTAGACTATGAATACAATTATGTTCTAGATTCATTTTTATATCTGCATCATTCCATCATGCTTGCACTTGTCTCTTTGAATGCAGATCCTTTTGCTGATGCAAATGCTGAGGACTCTGGTGCTGGTGCAAAGGAGTATGTTCATATCCGCATCCAACAACGAAATGGCAGAAAGAGTCTGACAACTGTGCAGGGGCTAAAGAAAGAGTTTAGTTATAACAAGATCTTGAAGGACCTAAAAAAGGAATTCTGCTGTAATGGTACTGTGGTCCAGGACCCTGAATTGGGCCAGGTACTTAATATTAATTATTTTGCTTCTGCTATGTTAGTGCAGTCTACATCGCTGCACCTTGTTTTGGTTTTTCTTTTCTTAGGAACATTAGTTGTCTGCAGGTTATTCAACTCCAAGGTGATCAGCGTAAGAACGTCTCGAGTTTCCTGGTTCAGGTGTGTATACCCTCTGTGGTTATTTAGCTTCTGTACTTAATTTGTGTAACCATGTAAGGAACAGTGCAAACCTTTTTCCAAAACTGTGTTAATTTCTCATACTCTTCATATCCAGGCGGGTATCATCAAGAAGGAGCATATCAAAATTCACGGGTTCTGAATAATTGCATATCATGCGTTAAGACTTGAGTTATATATATTGTTTCTGGCTGCTTGTAACATGTAACTTAAGGGGACACTGTGTTGCGACTCCTGGGTCGCTGGTCTTCTGATGGCTTATCTCTCAGTGATGTTTTCTGCCGTGAGAAGAAGCGTTGCATTGTGTTATGGTTTATGTTCATTTGTGTTGGTCCGGATGTTTGATCTCACCATGACTATTGTTCTTTTGGTCTATGCGTTACATTGCTGGTTAAAATGGGTGGCCTATTGCATGATATGAACATCTCGTTTAGTACGATTTATAGAGAAGTGTAGCGTGTGCAGGTCTGTATCTTCCCCTGTATGAATCAGAAATTTAGTGGAGCTTGCAGAGGGTTGAGGTTTATATAATGTCCGTGTTTAATGATCTCAAATTAGATTTGTAATTACCAACACATTATGTGAGCTATTGATGTTTCGATATCATCGTTGACACAAATGTAACTAAAAATCTGGTTAATTATATATTATTTTTATAATTAATTATCTTTCATATTTTGATTGTTATATTTTTAAAAACGGGTATCATTATAGTTATGGATATCTTTATAGTTATAAAAGTGAAATATCTAAGTTTATTTATTCTAATATTATATATTTTATTAATAAAAATATAAAAATAAAAAAATAATTTTAATATTTTAGTTGATGATCAGTAGATTGTATTGGTGGTGTCGTTAGGGTTTGTGGATGGTTATTGTGGATGAGGAGAGCAAAAATGTGAGGATTGTTTTGTATTTGTGTTGACATTGATACAATTGTCGAGTGGAGAAAAGGTTGCTTGGCAATTGCATGGTGGTCATTTCGTCACTCACAACTACATTGATGATATGCACAATTGCATGGAGAAAATTTTTTCTACCATCGTTGGATATATTCATTTGGAGTTTGACAATCGTTTGCCTACCAACCTTTCAGAGCTTTCTTTCTTGGTCGATGATAATCACGACAAATAGAACTCCTCCAACAAACCCCTAATCTTCTCTTTTCATGCCTGTACCAGAATTAACACAACATTATGGGAAGCAATATGACTCCGACGACCCTAACTTTGGGTCGAGAGATCTGCCCAATGGGTCGATGACAAGGCAACCACTATCTTCTCCATACGCGTTGAGCAATGCCCAGCTTTGGGTCGAGCAATTCGCCCACTGTTGCTGGTTGTTGCTCGACAACTACGTCAGCACCGACACAGTTGGTGGGGGTTGCGACGTCTACGACGAAGATGGTGATCGTCTTATCGTTTACCTGTTGGGTGGATCACTCGACCCGAAGCTAGTGTCGTCGAAGCTCTTGCTGCTCCCCCTACTGTTGCGTTAGTTTTGGCATGAGCATGAAAAAGGGGAGATGAAGTGCTCATCGAAGGAGTTCTATTCGCGGTGGTTGTCGTCAATTAGGAAGGGAAGCTCTAGAACATTGGTAGGCGAACGGTTGTTGAGCTCTTGGTGGACAGATTCGGTGGTCGTAGAAAAATGTGGGTCTTAGAATTTGATACTATCATCGTACCCATCATTGACACAGTTGTCGAGCAATGAAAGGGCTATCGATGCAGATATCGAGTGACCCTTTTGCCACTCAATAACTACGTTGATGTCGACGCAATTATAGAGTGACCCTCACCTCTTGTCATCGCTCTTCCATCTACAACAACAACCCCTAGCCTCCAGTGATGTCATTGTCCGTCACCATCAACTAGAATGTCAAAATTATATTTGGTAAAACTGATAACGTTATGATAAATTAGGATAATTTATAGTTAACCCCTAAAAATCACATGAACTATAATGCCCCCAAAAAGGATGTATTTTATGTATTTACTAAAATATAATTCATAATTGATGTATACTCAATTAGATTGGTCAGAACAAGTCTAATTACTTAATTCTATCATATAAGTGGTCCTCAAATATTAAGGACATATCCCACCATTTTATTATTTTATGAGATTATTTTTTTTAAAAAAATTGTAAGAAAAAATTTAAATATCAAAGCCGTAATAATAACATGTAGTGTTCAGATTAGTAAATGCCACTAAGGAATAATATTGAGAATAAATGATAAAATTATATCTTCAACATTAGTTTGATGATGATATATCAGATATTTTTATTGAAGGTTCAAAATCTCATTCAACATATTTAAAGGTATTAACTTACTAAGCTAATAAAGATTTTAATAATATATGATAATTTTTGAATTTGAATCCCATTTTTATTATTTATTTATTTATTTTTTAAAAAAATAAATAAATGATAAAATATCTGACCTTTTTATATTCTAATCACCAAAGCTAGAGGGTAGAAATCCAACACCGATAGAAATAATAGAAGATAAGAATAATAATTGAAGAAGCTTTGTTAAAGAAGTGAAGTAGCTTAGCTTGAATACATTAACATGTTCCTCTCCTATTTATAGGATTAGGAGGGAGGATTTTCCTCAACAGAATAGAGGATTTTTTCTGTTCAACCCAAAGGCACTGGCAGATGGGATTTGAATCGTGTATACTTTACACCGCCGTACCAGTGGATGGTAGGCAATCGATGGTCACGTCTTCCCCATATCATACATATTCTGAAAGTCCGGTGAATGATTCCATACTCGTACCGGTTGAAGGGGGATAACGATAAGCCCGGTGACCTCGATACCACGTCAATCGGGTCGGGTTCCCGGTTCCTGAGGTGAAGAAGACACGTGCACGTATTGCACATCCTTCCTTCTTAGATAAACATCAATCCTTCCTTCTTCTATGGATTGGACGTTTGCAGACTGGTGTCATGTCGTCCCTAACTCTCTCTCTCTCCCGCCACCAACCAACCTTATCCTCTTCTCTCCGCCCATCCAAGCGCAACCGTTTTCTCCGTCACCATATGCCCAACTATCTCTGTACATATGATTATTATTATATATATATAAACAATTATAAGTGTTCTAATAATAAATATTCACAGAAATATAGAGCTTTCTACTGTTTACCTACTGTTTACCTACAGAAATATTCACAGAAATATAGTGTTCTAATAAGATATACGTTGTGTTTCAATTGCTGACTTGAGCCATACATCTCAAGGTTATTATCTAAATGTATATGAAATATATATACAAACATATTTCTTGGAGAAGGATTAAGGGTCTCATCCTTCACTAAAATCCTTTACTAGGACAACGTCCATAAAACAAAAGAAAAAAAAAAGAGAGAGAGAATGATACGATGAACAATATATATTTATCATAAAACACCTAGATAATCAATCATCCGAAGAATCAGGTTTTTATTTCTGAGAAATAAGAATATTTTATTTCTTTTCTTCAATTTAAAAGAGAAGTAAAGCTCTATATGCAAATTCTCTTTTCAAAGGTACCCCGACATTAATTCATTTCACTTATCTTTTTATTCTCGATCATTCATCCGTTTGGATAAAAACAAATATAAAAATTTCAAATAGCCAAGCAGCACTCCAACACGTCAGAAAACAATGCCATGAGGAACTTCGCCAGTCCTGCACGACTGGCCTACATTGATCTGCAACTCTGGGCGATAGCTACTGCAAGCATTCGACTGGACTCTGCATCATATCTTCAGAGCTATTGGATTAAACAATCAGCATCAAACATCTCCATTTTCATCGCAGCTATTGTTTGATGAAGATCCAATGACTACGGATGTTCTAAACGCTTCTTACACCCTCGTATTTCCTTGACCATACTCATCCGTCGAGAGGAAGTTCCTGAGAAGCAACAGGAATCTGAAAGGTGTTTGCTTGCATGGGCTGGTCAGCTTCCAAGTGAGGAAGCTTTTGGGGTAAGGATGGAGGGTGTGGCAGCTGAACAAGACAATCTGAGACTATTTAAATATGTTATCATCACCACAATATTTGGAAAATGAAAATAATTAAGTTGTCAACCTGTGTTCTCTCTTGATGGATAATCAAGGGAAGTTGCCATGCCAACCCACTTCTTGCATCCTTTATAAAGGAGGAAGGGGAGCAGACCTTTGCATGCACTGGCTGCAACTCCTGACAAATATCTATCTCTCAAGAATTCTCCCATGGCTTCATCCTTTTCAGTGCCTTCAATGGTCAGTTCTCATGCCTGCTTCGAAACCTCTTCCATAATCTCCTTCCTTCCCATTTTTCTTTACTTGCATCTAGCAGAAGATATCTTCATCAAGCCTCTGTGCTCTTCTGTATTTATTCTTTTGGGGTAAAACCAAAGAAAAAGAGCACTATAGACAAACCTTTATTACTTGACATGATGGAGGGAAAGAGACATAGGTATCTAATGATCATAATATGACGAGTCTCATTAGTTTAATGAGGAATGTAAGTTCATGTTTATTTGTTTCCTATCCTTCTTATGCATGCTATGAGAACCACCCAGAAAAATTGGAGGTTTGTAGTTTTAACAATGAAAATATGATATTTCCATCGATCACTCTACCACTCGATGCTTTTCTTTTCTGATGAGTTTATATATGCTGGATTTAGTCAAAACTATACTTATGAAATTGCTGCCTCATGTCTTCTTTTCTCATGGATAAGATTTTATGCTTGTGATTGTCATTAAAGGTGTCAAAATTTTGGTTCGGGATAAATGTAGTTAATTTTGTGGTCTTGGCCTTTGAACTCTCCATCCTCTGTTGAGTTGGCTAGAAAATAAGAAGTCGACCAAGAAACAATAATTCATCCTAAAAAGATATTAATTGATCGGCAAATTCCAAAGATGCTGCTATATTGCCCAGTCAAGGCCAAATGTTGTATTGCTATATAGTCTTGATAAGTATAATTAACATGAGTTTAACTACAGATAATGGCGGAAGAAAGCAGATTTGAAGCGGAAGTTGCCGAGGTGCAAGCATGGTGGAACACCGAGAGGTTCAAGCTTACCCGCCGCCCTTACACTGCTCGCGATGTCGTCTCCCTCCGTGGCACCCTCCGCCAAAGCTATGCCTCTAACGAGCTCGCAAAGAAACTTTGGAGCACTCTCAAGACCCACCAAGCCAACGGCACCGCCTCACGGACCTTCGGCGCTCTTGACCCAGTCCAAGTCACCATGATGGCCAAGTACCTCGACACCATCTACGTCTCCGGCTGGCAGTGCTCCTCCACCCACACCACCAGCAACGAGCCCGGCCCTGACCTTGCCGACTACCCTTACGACACCGTCCCAAACAAGGTCGAACACCTCTTCTTCGCGCAACAGTTCCATGACCGCAAGCAGCGAGAGGCTCGGATGAGCATGAGCCGCGAGGAACGGGCACGCACCCCTTACGTCGACTACTTCAAGCCTATCATCGCCGACGGTGACACGGGCTTTGGCGGTGCCACCGCTACCGTGAAGCTCTGCAAGTTATTCGTCGAGCGGGGCGCGGCCGGAGTTCACATCGAAGACCAGTCATCGGTCACCAAGAAGTGTGGTCACATGGCCGGAAAAGTCCTTGTATCGGTCGGCGAACACATCAACCGGCTCGTGGCGGCGCGACTGCAGTTCGACATCATGGGCGTCGAAACCGTCTTGATCGCGAGAACTGATGCAGTTGCTGCCAATTTGATCCAAACCAACGTGGATTCCAGGGACCACCAGTTCATTCTTGGTTGCACCAACCCACATCTCAAAGGGAGGAGTTTGGCCGGTGCGTTAGCTGAGGCGATGGCAGTCGGAAAGAATGGCCCTGAGCTTCAGGCCATCGAGGACGAGTGGCTGTCGATGGCCAAACTAAAGACCTTCTCCGAGTGCGTCGAGGACGCAATCAACAGCCTCAACATCCGCGAAGACGAGAAGCGCCAAAGACTCGACGAATGGGCGAATCGCTCGGGTTATGATAAGTGCCTGTCCTATGAGCAAGGGAGGGACGTAGCTGCGAGGCTCGGCCTTGAGAACCTCTTCTGGGACTGGGACTTGCCCAGGACCAGAGACGGCTTCTACAGGTTCAAAGGCTCAGTCATGGCGGCGGTTGTCAGGGGCTGGGCTTTCGCACCCCACACCGACCTGATATGGATGGAGACGTCGAGCCCCGACTTGGTTGAATGCACCAGGTTCGCCGAGGGAGTGAAGTCGAAGCACCCGGAGACGATGCTGGCCTACAACCTCTCGCCGTCGTTCAATTGGGACGCATCGGGCATGGCCGATGACCAGATGAGGGACTTCATTCCTCGGATCGCGAAGCTGGGCTTCTGCTGGCAGTTCATAACACTGGCCGGGTTCCATGCTGATGCACTGGTGGTGGATACCTTTGCCAGGGACTTCGCCAGGAGGGGGATGTTGGCCTATGTGGAGAGGATTCAGAGGCAGGAGAGGAACAACGGGGTGGACACTTTGGCTCACCAGAGATGGTCCGGTGCTAGTTACTATGACAAGGTGCTGAAGACCGTGCAGGGTGGGATCACCTCCACCGCAGCCATGGGCAAAGGCAAGTTAATTGCCTCTTCATTTCTGTCAGACAATACTTACCATTTCTGGGCGACAAACTTTAATTGATCTATCGTTTGCAGGTGTCACCGAGGAACAATTCCAAGAAACATGGACTGAAAATGGAGTCTTGAGCATGTCTGATGCCAATGGCATTGTGCTGGCCAAGTCTAGAATGTAGGACCAAGTTGCCGAAGCCATGAGAAGAACTTCCAGCATGGATCTAAAGGATTCCATGGTTCTGTTGCTTCGTTTCAGTGCATGTCGTAACCAGATTTGAATAAATTGTGTAATCACTAATAACTCAGTGGAGATTGGGCTTATTATTTTTTATGTTAAGCCTTAATTATCTGAATCCGGCCCTTTGTCATGCATCCATGTTTAAGTTATGAAGCCTAACTATGTTGGTATATGATGAACAAAGCTGGACTAGAGCAGAGTATTGTTGTGCTCTTAGAACATTAGTTTATATTACTCATGCAAGTTCCTAATCACACGATGGATGTAGTCACACGGAGTCTTCGAAAGCTGTAACGATCTCAAAGCCCCAACACATTTCCTAACATGCAGTGAACAGGAAATGAAAGGTTCGGATAAAAGGTCAGTATTATCCAAGAGCAATTGCTAGATGATCATCCACAACATCACACCACAAGGTTCGGCATATTAGCTTAGGAACCTCGACTTGTTTGTCTACACTAACGCTAACATTTGTGTGTGTTCCTATCATGATGATCGTTCCTTCGATGAACTGAGAACAAACTATTCCGAAACCTCAAATGTTTGCTGGTTCAGTTAGGCTTACAGAACCCAATGTGATGTCACAGAAGAGGTACTATCTTGGTGTTTATCAGGATTCAAGATTAGAAATGAAAACAAAAGTTGGTCTCAGGATCTTCAAACCCAAATGCCAGAGATCTTCAAACCAAAAGTCTCAGACTCCGCATTCCACCAGGAAGTGCCCGAGAAACCAAACCAAATGTCACTACTGGGCTCACCACTAAGTTAAAGGTGCACTGTGCTCCTTTCCCCGGAGTGCATTTTGATAGAAGATAAGATTTCTCTAACTAGAAAATTTTAAAGAAAATCGTCTATTCTGTTAAGGAAAATCCTTCCTCCTATAAATAGGAGAGGGACATGTTTATTTAAGCCTTTTCAATTCTTCAATAAAGTTTCTTAATAGTGAGAAAAGCGAAGCTTCACTTTTGCCTTCAGCCTACGACCAACACCGCTAAGAAAAGCAAAACTTCGCTCTTGCCTTCGGCTAGCGACCAACGCCACTGCAGCCAAATTCCTAAGAGGCTCCGCGGTCAATCATCATCTTCCTCATCGCGATAGTCTTCGTTGATCTGCCAACAGTCGAGAACTTAAGGAAAACGAAGGACGGACTTAAGGGGAACGAAAGGAATGCCTATGCCCTCACAGCAACAGCAATTGCAACAGCAGTGATTAATGTCCTTGACAGGAGCATCATCTTGCGGGGGCATGACAGAAGATAAGATTTTTTCAACTATACGAGGAAATCTTTCTATTCTATTAAGAAAATTTTTTCTTTAAAAAAATCTTTTCTCCTAATATATATATAAATAGGAGAGGATGCGGTAGGGCGAGGCTTCTTAAGCAGCAAGGAGGAATCTCTTTTATATGGCCTTTTTCTCTTTATCAAAGCCGTGGACTCCCGAGTGCGCGCACTTCCTACCATTGCCTGCCAGGATTCTTTGCGTAGAATTGCCGCAGCCAAGCAGAGGAAAGCAAAGCTGCTCCTCCCCTTTTTCCACGCAATTAATGGATGGTAGCTCCATTTATTAATCACGTACCCTGCTGCTATATTACCCGTCACCCTTTGCTCTTCCGGCCATGCAAATGCTACCTCTTCGCACTGCAACTTCGACCACAGGTGGAGCGAGGATGGACAAGGATCAAGGGAAGAGGGAAATGGAAGAGCAGCTCGAGATGGTGACCAAGGCCTTTGTGGATCACTACTACAACCTCTTCGACACCAACCGTGCCGCCCTCGCATGCCTCTACGACCAGACCTCCATGCTCTCCTTCGAGGGGCAGAAGATCCTGGGCGCCGACGAGATCAGTCGGAAGCTCTCGCAGTTGCCGTTCGAGCAGTGCAACCACTCCATCTCCACCGTCGACTGCCAGCCGTCGCCGCTCGTCGGCGGCATCCTCGTCTTTGTAACTGGTAACCTCCAGCTCGCCGGAGAGGAGCACCAGCTCAGGTTCAGCCAGGTATATAGCGATCACCACATCCTAAGCAGTAACATGAGAATGATACTCAAGTCTTCGTTTGGGTGCAGATGTTCCAGCTGATCCCGACACAGCAGGCGAGCTTCTTCGTGCAGAATGACATATTTCGCCTCAACTATTGTTGATTGAAACAGGGCTTGTGCAGTCTCCGGAAGTCAAGACTGCCATGTCATGAACAGAAGGGAGGTGCCTGGTTTTAGATGTCCTCTCTTCTATGGTGTTTTTGTGGAATTGAATTCCACTGAATGTCTTCATGTGGACTCAAAGATTTATTCCAATAAGTTTGCTTGTGTTTGGTTGAAAGGCATTTTTTTCTTCATGAACAAATTACATATAGCTGCTTAAACTGCACTATGGAGAACAGAAGAGAGAACAAAACAGCAAGGCACTGACCCTCTCTTCCTGTAGAACTGAAGCTGAACTCTCCAATCATTTAAGCTTTGATCAATTTCAATCAATCTGATTCTGGACACACCTCTTAGATTCTTATGTTTGCAGCAATCTAAAGAGTCCAATGAACTGCTTTTCACCTCTGCCAACCCTGCAGATTTGGTTTCGGAAAATTTCTTCAAAGAACAGGCTAAAACCTCACTAAATTCAATCACTTAATGCTGCACCAAAACCCCCACATTGATCTCACTCTCGCTTCCTGTGAGTCCGGGCTTGATCTTGCAGGAAGTAGAAAGCTGATCCTACCATCTTCTCTCCAATATCTTTAAAGTTTATTCCTTTATGATGAAGGCAAGCATGTGTTGATGTTATCTGAACACTGTGAACCAATAGGAATGAAGCTGAAGTCTCTCTCCGATATATAAGCAAAAAGATTCATTTAATCACTTTGAAGCACTAAAATACAAACCACAGAAAAAGGAAGCTTGATCACAGCGAAGGTTGTCTTTGTCGGAAAAATAGAAAAAAACAAAGATATAGTTAAGCATATACTGCCATTATACTGAATGACAATGGTATCCAAGCGCTGACCACCATTTTCATCTTAAAAATATGGTTGAAACCAATCATTATTGTATAACATTCTTTTTGGCACACTTTTAGTGAATATGCTGACATTCTTGTAAGAAACAAAATAGCTATGCAACTTAAGTTACTTAGTAGCTTTCCAGTTGCAAACTTCCTCGAACCAATACAGCCAACTGTTTCACTTGTGGGATTGAGGGTAGTCACACGATCAACTCTTTCAAAATGCATATTGTTATGTCCCAAACCATGCAATGGATATTGAAAAGGGTGGTAAGACAACTGTTCAAGATTGCTGTATTATTTAACTGTAAATACCAAAGGAAATTACATTAGAACACCCCAAGATATCTAAATGTAAATGAATAGACATCAAAGTAAACATTACGATCACCTTAGCAAGTTCTTAAATCTACCACTTGATTCTTCTTAGATCTAGATTGTGTAGTGACATCTGTCGGAGCCTCAACTTGCATTTTCAGAAGACTGAACTCTAGAGCCAGTATAGGCTTTGATAGTAAAACTTCAATGCTTCGTTCTCTCTCTTCATTTTCAGTTGTTAATCTGTCATCAAAGTTGATTTTTTTCACTTCAGTGGCATTAGGAAATTTGTTGAGCTGAGTAGTCCTTGGCCTTGATATCTTCGCAGCCTCCACTGCTCTTACCCTGCATACACCATCTCATTGTTGAAATCAAAAAAGTGAGTAATCAGACACCCTCAACATGGTCTGCTGGTCAGGACATGGCTTGAGAAGCTAGTTATGAAACCAAAATGCTCATTCTTTGAGACGAGGCAATTAAATGTGCCTTAATTTAGACTTGTCTAAATTTGACATCATGATCGTCTGGGAATGCAGCACCAAGTTTTGAATTTCACAGAAAATATTGTTTTTATGCTCAATGAAACCATCTCGATTAGGGTCCTTCAATGTGTGGTCACGTATGATAGGAAAAGGTATCAATGATGAAGATGATGAGTTGCCAAGCATATGCCTTTTAAGATATGAATTATAAGCAGCTAAAAAAAGCTTAAAATTAATTTGAAACATGACCTGTAATTGTAAATTTGACATTCTATTAATCAGTACAACAAAGTCATTAAATCAGATTTCTTGTAGGGTTAGGTTTACTAGGTTAAACAGAAATGATAAAAATTGTATGCACCTACAATTTGCCTAGAGGAGAATGGACTCCTATTGTGTTTATAATCTTAGGCGTCCAATCTAGTTTAGGAAACATGAATGTTTTCTTAATGTTCTATGAGGAAGTTCCTAAAGGAGATTGACGGTTGAAAGAATAGCCATATTATTATTTGGGAAGAGCTGAATTGACTTCTTTTATGTAAAGTAAGCAGGCAGCGAACAGAGAATTATCATTGCAATTTGGAAGAAAAAAAAAGATACAGAATATGTTTTGTGCTTGTCAGCCTAGAGAAAATAAGATTCTGTAACTGGCACATACCTGCAGTCAACTTGGCAGGAATATTTAAGAAGACGAGGATTGTATATAGTCTGGCCACTGATTCCACAGGTGACAAGTTATTACAGTCATAAAATGGTTAAAATCTAAACTCCGTATGTTAGGAAACAAACCTAAAGCTTGGAAGTGATATCCTAATCTGAGGACCCATCCGATTGTCACCTGCTTTAAATTTTGGCAAAGTAGTTATGGAACACATGGCAGATAATAGCAAATTAGAAATAAATAATCCAATAAACAAATGTTTAACAGATATTATTTTAAATGGAATTATGCTACTATGTGATTAGTTAACGATGCATGGTAAAATTGGACTTTTTAATATGTTACAACAGAACAATTGCATATATCGGAGCATTCAAGGAACAAGAGCATCTACTGTCTACACATATATACTAAGAACCAAACCACTGTATTTATCTTTAAAAATAGACAAACAATTAAGCCACTTGAAGCCAAACAAAGAACAACTAGTGAACTTGAAAAATCAACTATATTATATTTTGATACACATCAGTCATTTTCAGGTCCTGAATGCTAGATGATGGTTGTGGTCCCAAGTGGTTAAGATTTTGTCAATGCGCAGATGTTATTACTAGATGATCACTGGGAGAGAGAGAGAGAGAGAGAGAGAGAGAGAGAGAGGACCAATAAAATCCTATCCTCCATATTGTAAGCCAGAAATTATAAACATCTAAAATGTGTCCTTTTGCATGAGCTTCAAACCATCAAAATATGGGTTACAGACAAGGACTTTATTTTTTTCTTTTTTCTAATTAACAAGGTCTTGAATATTAAATAAACCATCCAGATTGAATAATCATGATCTGCAGTTCCAATCCAATATGCTCCTGATTTTTGGTATAGATCTGATTGGTACTTTGGATCAAAACACTTGACAATAATGTGTTATGGACTGACCAAAAACACTGTTGTGCCACTGAAATCAACACAAATCCCATCAATGTTAGCAATCATGTATATCTGTCAATAAATTTTCACTGAAAATGGGATCTCTGATTTGAGCCAGCATAATGTTGAAACTTCTGAGACAACCAAAGCCACCTAACTCCCCCCCAAAAATAATGATACAAACTTCCAAAACCAAAAGATACTCTTGGGGTCAAAACTGGAAATTAGACCAATTCGAGAAAACTTAGCTTCTGGAGACTACCAATGATTGTTAATTGAGTATGTTCTTATTTTTCTAGTTTAGACAAACTGCTGATTCTTGGACATTATTTTTGCATGCCATCAATATTACATGCATAAATACTGCCTTAAAAAGCAAATCTGAATCAACTCATTGTTACATTGTTATGAGCACAGCCTGAAAGGCCTTTTACCTCATCAGAGTTGACATTAAGTAAAAGTTCTAAAATATTTTTGTGATGATTACGTCCACATCAAGTCAGGTACTCTTCCATTCTATAAAGTTGAATATGAAAGTCTGAAATGTCAAAAGTGACATGGTCAGATCTGTAGAGTTTAAAGATTGAGTGATTTTTTTTTGTACAACTACAATATATTGTCAACTCACCAGCAAAAGGTAAACTGATGTTACAAATGAATATCTGAGAAGAATCCTCCATCTCTAGCACTTGAATCTCACTCTGTTCTTTTGGCTTAGGGTGAATAGAACTTGTTCGGCACTTACATAATGGCTGTTCTGAAGCTGCTGTGTCTCTCTGTTTTGGACAATAAAAATGAGAATTAATTAAAAGTCTTGGACACTAAACAGTTACAAAATTATGGATATTTGAATTTTGAAAAAATCATAAACACTTACCAAACAGTTACTTATGCAAGCAGAAAAACATTAAATAAAAATAAGGGTAGAAAATGAGGTGGAAAAGAAAATTTTATGGATCCTTCTTTCCTCATGGAGTTGGGAAAAATTCTTATAGGTACTCTCAATTAACATAATCACTATTCACTACTATATCATGCATATATTTATTCATCAACCTTATTTTGGACCAATGGATCTCCCTACCTCAGTCTTAGCATCAGTGGGCTTCAAACCTCTACTAATTGTATTGAATTCATCCTGGTGAGTCTTGATGAACATAGCTTCCATCACCCAACATTAATTCATGTGGCGCTTGTCAGTAGAAGACCATATACAATTATATGGCAATCAAAATCTTTTTGTTTCTGTCAAATCTGTTGACATTTCTCATTTCCTAACAGCACCTTCTACAAACCATTCTGTTGTCTATATCTTGACCAGCCATAGAGCAAAACTTCCAAAGCACCTGAGCATCTTATGTGAAAGCCCAACAATGATAAATATAATACACTAGACAAGTCCCTCTCTAAAACCCTGATCAAACTTCTTTTAGGAGACAATAAAGCTCCAATAAGTATGTGATTACAACTTTGCAGAGACCCTAACAGATATGGATGTGGCCAATGATCTAAAGCCATTCTATGTGTGAAGATCTGACATGCAATGATCCAACACAAGGTGAATAACCATCCATATACAATTTGATGTCCATACAGGTACTCCAACAAAAACTAGTAGTAGACAATAGCAGAAGTATGAGTCCCAATCAAGGTTGAGCATACCATAGCATACCACTCAGTACGTGTGGTACATATTGGTCCGATGAGAGACCGGTACGAAGGATACATCAGTATGTCCCCATGTACTGTGTGTCGGTATGCTTGATACAACTCAGTACATACCATACCGACAGTTGGTCGGTACACCGGTATGGACCTATAAAGTGAACCATGGTCCCAATAGTTAATAATTAGGAGTTGCATCACTTATTAAACTAAATTCTTCTGTATTTGAAAGTCCTATAGCTAATAGAATACCACCAACTTACAAACCTTACCATGTTAATAATTAGGAGTATGAGTCCTATAGCTAATAGGATACCACCAACTTATAAACCTTACCATGTTAATAGACAAAGCAGAAGTATGAGTCCCAATAGTTAATAATTAGGAGTTGCATCAGTGATTAAACTAAATTCTTCTGTAATTGAAAGTCCTATAGCTAATAGGATACCACCAACTTATAAACCTTACCATGTTATAGTCTGCCATCAAGAACTTAAACTTGCCTTGCCCGATTTGATTTTACACAATTATCTCCACTACAGATTTGGAGAACAGTGCAACACCAAAATCCACTCATTAAACGAATTGATTATCCAAATAAGCTAACATCCATCCTATCCCAATTATGTTAATTTGGTCAATCATATGATCAAACTTCAATATTACATAACTCCATTTACAATAGCAACTCAGATAGCACCATCCAAACATTGTTGCTTGTCTAAATGTAAGCCTAGGCAGGCAGGCACCACCCCGAACTAAAGGATCTTCAATATAGCATAACTTGAAGTATATTAAAATTCGTTAAGACTGTTTTTGTTAAAGCAGATTCTGCCCATATCAGTTTTAAAACTCTCAATTTTTTAAAAGAAAACGGAGTAAAATATATAACTTTTTGAACATGTGTGTGTGCGTGTATTCCCCAGCTTGCAGTACCTTGGAGAAAATAGCAACTTGACTTGGGAGACCTATTTCCTGCAAGAACATAAGTGATATCAACACACCAAAAACTTGAATAAGACAACCTTGGTCTATCATACCTTCCTGCCATGCCTGCAAGCCTCGTGACTATTCACAAGAACTCTAGAAGCCCACCTTAATGAAATCAGACCAAATATAAGAGATGTGTGATGGCAATTAACTTGCATACTTCATATCAATAGAACCTGTCTGAGAATAAGCTTGCAACTATACCAAATAAAGAGAAAGCAAATAAAAATCATTACGCGCACGATGTAGGTGGGTTCCAGATGATGCCAGGAATCACGACGAGCTGCAGACAAAACAAATCTAGCAGATCAGTGATGGTAAATTGTAGGAGCACAGATCTGCTAAATCAGTAGCCACGTCAGATTGAGACTGTTAAAATGGAAAACCTTGTTATACCATAATCTTATTCTTATCCAATAATGCCCTTTAACAAGTCCTCCATAATCATGCTAACTAGAATATTCTTCTAGAAAAAGTTGTGTGCAAGGAATCATAAATGAAATTTGAAGTGAAAGGAAGAGAACAAACCTCATCAAACTCCCCAGCCGGGCTGTCATCATAGTGAGCAAGAAACAGCCCACCTAAGGTATACCTATAGAACAAACATAGGAGTTTATTACAGCAAAAAGTTTTACTGTTTGGACGAGATCAAGCAATTGTGTGAATAAGCAGAAAGAACCGTGTAACATAGGTCACACAGATTAGATGATACCCAAATGCTTCAACTAGCTTCAGCTCCTTTGGAATGAGAGCCCGAGCAATGTCTGCTTTAACAAGATGTAACTGGTACAATGCTCTAAATAGGAAAGTAGAGACCATTAAAGCCATTCAAAGACTTGCTTATCCATGGTGAACAATGAAACAAGCTCTTCTAAAGAAATTAAAGTGAAAAGAGTGGCAAAAGTCTCACCTTCCTCTGAACAACCAGGGCGGCCCGAGGGCATAACCTGAAGGAGAAGAGGAGTTAGAAATCGTTCCTGACTCTCCCATCGATGCCCAATCCAACTCCAGGTAGCTCAAACTTCAAATCAGGCGCCTGCTTAAAGCGCATTTGCAATTACAATTCAGCGATCTAGAAAATATGCATCAATACAAACATTAAAAAAAGAGATGGGGAGATGCATCATCAATCAATTGCAGGGGTTCCAACAGAGTGCAAACGACACTGAACGCTGACAAATAGGGCAAACTCTTAGCAAGAAAGCCTTTGTCAACAATCTGAACCAAGAAGCTAAAACCAGTCATCGAGAATGGAATAACCCCTTACAGTTAAGCCAGACACAACAGAAAAGGCTTCAGCATGAGATTTACCCCTTTCAGAACTAACAAGATTCCACCATGGGAGGCAAAAGGAAGAAAAAACTAAGAACATGCATTTTGCAATCAGCCGCTAACAGAATAGGGAACTGCTCACCTTGCAAGTTGAACTAAAGGCGACCGCGACCATGAGAGTGTGCCCAACTTTGTTTCAGTGGGGTATGCGTGCTCGAGGAGAAAAGGATGCGAGAAAGAGACAAAAAGGAGGCTTCCAAGATAGGAACGAATGACGACTCCTTATATGGTTGACCAGAGCAGTGGTAATTGGTGGCTTTGGGTTCGTCAAGGTGCCGACTTGTTACTGGGCAGCCGACATCCATATCTTATTCTCTAATTCGGTTCTACCCCACTAAAGAAAACAAAGCTTCACGGTGGCCCTCCACGTGTCCACAAGGGCATCGTAATGGAGGAGGCCATACCGCAGCCGAACCCAACCCATAGTTTTTACAACCATTTGGGCCGTTCTTGGACACGTCTTGGCCCATTTTCACTGCCTGATATATATGATCTGGATATATACTATTGAATCGATCATGATATTATTCTTTGATCAGGATTGTTCTGCTTTGTTCTCGTATTAACCATCATGCTTCAACTCCCCGTAATCTCCCCCGCAGATCACACACGGTTCTGCAAGTTGCTAATCACCAATTGTGAAGACCGCCAATGCAAACCCCATCTCATTCATCCTCGTACAATGTACAATCTTCTTCGAACGTCTGCAGACCCCGCCCCCAACAAGTTCTACGGTGCTCTTTCCTTTAGCGTCGGTCCTGTACTGTGCACCACAATTATTCTCCTTTTGACACCCCAACAACCGTTGTTTGCACCGATAACGATTCACGAACTTCGAACCACCAAAGCCTTATCTTCCTAATATAGTCTCTCCCATCCATTCTCTTCACTGCTGCAAACGGCTACAGGTGTTCTTCCACCATGCTGACGACCAAAACCAGATCTCGCAGAGGGCCTCAGGTTTGCTGCTTCCTCATTCTTCTGCTGTTCGTGACCCTCATCATCCTATACTTAACGGTCTTCAAGCCGAAGCAACCGGAAGTGCGCGGCACGGTGGTCGGCCTCCGGCAGATCGAGTTCCAGCCCTTCCCCAACTTCATGCTGAACATTACGCTGGTTGTGGCCGTCACCATCGAGAATCCCAACTACGCCGGCTTCGAGTTCGAGAGCGGGACGACCTTGATCTTCTACCGCGGTGTCTTGGTCGGACAGGCGCCGGTGATGGAAGGGGAAGTCGGCGCGCGCTCGACGGAGACGCTCAGCGTGTACGTCGAACTCGAGGTGTCGACGATCACAGCCAACCCCAACTTCGTGCAAGACATCGCCTCGGGAATTCTGCCTCTTGAGTCGTTCACGAGCGTTCGGGGGAAGGTGACCATTCTGGGGGTCTTCAAACTCAATGCATCCGTTTTCACGTCGTGCGATATAACCGTGGCCCTTCTTTCTCGCTACGCGAGCGCGACCTGCAATTCCAGAGTCAGCACTTGATCGCCGACCGTAGTATATGTACAGTAGATTTCTCTTTTTGTTTTGTTTCCTGTATACAGTTCGGATGTAATGGGCTCCCTGTAATCATTATTTCATTGGGTGTCGGGTTGGATTTGTTGACCTTGGTTGCACCCTGTCGAAAAGTTGAGTCTGATGACATCTCTTATATATTGGATTATGCACATGGAATAGGAATCTTAATAACCTACTCAAGAAGAATCTCATCCTGTTTAGCCTGTGCTTTCTTGCATTTCCAATCTGCAGTCACAATTGAAGGATGTTTCTTCACCCAAAAAAGATGGACTGTTCAACAAGGCAAAGTTAAGAGGCCAGCATTATGTGTCATAGTTGCATTTTGAAACAGATTGCAGCTATGCACATCTAGCAGTCTGTTTGTTTACACCATATAGTCAGGGAGATATCTCTTCGGTACAAGCAAAATTATGAGGGAAGACTAGGCTGACTATTGCTTCATCAAGGAATGTGTATATCAGCAAAATTTTGAGTACTTTGAATCACCAAAATTTCACCATTCCCCATCAAAAATGTTTGCCTAATTCAACCTTCTTCACAAGTCGCAAGGTGTTGTGTAGGATGGAATCCAATATCCCAGCAACCTGAAACACACAACAGTTCACAGAAGTCTTGTTCTGATCAATAGAAGGCAAAAGCATCAGCGAAGCAGACTGGGAAGCATACCGTGAAAACGCCTCCAATGATGGCACAAATATTGGTGACAAAGTGGGATAAGGGTTTTGGAACTTCAGTTACCAAGACCTGGAATTTATATCGGTATGTCAAGCAGCCAAATCTAAGTTTTGCTCAAATTGATTCAAGTAACAGATGCCAACCTGCATAGGAGATGGTTCATAATGAAATTTAGCAACAGGAATGTGTAGACTGTCCACCAAACTACTGTGGGCCGTGTACTCGTACTCCTCAAGTAATTTGAGTTCCTGAGAAGACCTTCTTGACACTACCTCAGACTTTACCACTTGAAGATAATGCTCAATCTGCAAATTTATATGAAAGGCATAAATAGATTTTCTCTAGTAGTCAAAAAGCTATCCAGCATCCCTAGGTAAACTATAAAGATCTATTTGCTTTAATTTTAACAAGTCAAAGTTGCATCAAAAGCTACCAGCACACTTTCTTATTATTATTATTATTATCATCATCATCATCATCTCTTCTTTTCATTTCCATTTTGGACAAGCCCCAAGGGTCCAACTATTATAATATGTCATATGTTAAACAGAACGGTTAGTTCTTTGTAAGGAGGATTCAAGATGACTTAAAATGGCACATTTATAGCCTGTCTCCTTTCTCCATTGAATTTCTTAATTACTAAAGTACACTAAGCGGCTTCCATTAGGGGTCAACAATGTTTAACTATTATGGGTAACATTAGTGAAAAGATGCATTTACAGATAATATCACTTCTCAATTAATACATCACAATTTGGATTTGCATCCACTAAATGCCAAATAAGCTGTCTAGAAATGAGGATGATGGAGATTGGAGAGTATATACGCAACAGAAGAGGTATTGAAACTTACAGTAACATTTGCGTTAACATGATCACGATTAGTAATATATGAGTGGCCCATCAATCGATCATGACTTCCACCAAGATATGGCGTCAGTCTCTTCAATTCAGACAGCATCCTCAACGAGAGCTTTTTACCAAATGAAAATTGTGAAACAACATGCGAGACATTTATCTGAGATGGATCGAATGAGTGTGCTCCAGAGTGAGCTGAGATAACAAGATTACCAGGAACCTGAATAATTAGCAAAGTCAAAGAATGTCACAACCTTATTTTTATCAGATAAAAGAAAACACACCAAACATGAAAACTAAAATATTAAAATATATTCAAAAACCAAGTTCTTTTATATATTTGCACCGCAAAAAGATAACATATATACACAAATAAAAAATGGTCAAAAAGCTCAATTTCATCATGATCATGATTTTCTTCTACGAATGAAACACACGCAGAAATCCTTCGGAAGTAACCCAGATTAGCTGAAAATAAAATTGGGACTAACACTGCTTAAAAATTATCCATTTTTAAAGCAAAGATGTGAAGAATAATATTTCAACTGTACACTGTCCCATATGAGTAAAGAAAGAAGGTTGTTTACCTTCTTAACACGTACAAAACCTTCTATTCTACATCCACTGGTCAATGGTGCGGGACGCTTTGCTGTATCAACAGATTTATTAGATTTATCTTCCAATGCCAGCTTATGAGACTCTCTTGGAACAGGAGCAACCAGAGTTTCCATTGCCTGAAATTGCCAACTCCCACAATCAGTTCATCTAGAATTAGTTCAAAGGACAATCCTTAATTTTGTAAACACATAAGAAATCAATTTGAACTAATATCATCAACAATTGATTAATTCAACAAAAGCAATAAGTATACCGCTACTAAACTTTCAGTGTCACGCTCTCCATAATAAGATTCATGTTCATGGTGTCCATGGTTGTCCCTGCATTATTTGACAATTTAATAGCAAGTATTTAAATTGAATCATATAAAAAAAGAAGTGATTCTAAATTTCCCATAGAATTTTTGTGGATTTTAAAGAGGGATCAGAAGTTTCATCAACAAAAATTAACTTTTAGCTTGTTATAACTGCAGTATATATATCAAGAACATAGGCTTGCAGTGCTTAATGGTTAGCTGTGATAACATCAATTTATTACACTGACAGTTATGCAATCTTTATTTGTCGCACTGTGTAATTTATGAGATAACATGAATTCATATAAACTGAGTTCATAGAATGTGTAATTATTCGTATACATAAAAATGATCATGTAGGTTGACAGCAGCAACAGAGTAAAACAAAATATTGTATTTTTTCACCATTGTTAATAACAAAATAACACAAGCACTTACACATTTTTGAAGCAACATAAGAGAATTTCAAGATTCCCAATCCAGTGAGAAAGATGTATGCCTTAAAAAAATCAATGAACAATGACAACGTGAAGAAAACAAAATTCATGTATCTTTCTTGCCCCGTTTCTCTTATTTCTTTCACCAAATCCATCCTCCACCAGAATTTCACCACAGCAGCACTATTCCAGTTTCTAGTAAAGCTAAATCTGTAAGATGGTTATAGATGCTACCATTGATTAAAGACTTCCAAGAACATTTCACATTAAACATTCTTAAAAAGTCAGTAAAAGGACTGAAGAAAATATTGGACGGAAGTATGGTCATGATGACAAAAGTCTTTGCAGAGATCAAGAACATGAAATCCTCATGAAAGAAAAATTAGATTATGAAAATTAATCAACATTAGCAGATGAAGATTTTTTTGCTAACAGAGTCTAAATAAGAGAAGAGCAGTGTTGAGGAAGACGGCAATGATACAGATATATAAATTGAGTTGTTACCATAGATGTCGCTATCCAACCCAATGGAAAATTTGACCCAATAGTTTGATAAGGAAGATAACCACCGGTCAAGGTAATGACAGTCGATCCATCTAGTCCTATGTATTATCGATTAAATCATCCACCCACTTCTAATCTGAAACTACTTTGTGTGTCATGATCTCCATTTAAAATGCTTTGACATTCCCAACCAGGTACAAAGCTCAATGCAAAGCTCAGAATAATACCTAGCCCCTAGACCAATTTGTAGGTATTTCGTTCATAGTTAGGCCTTCTCGCCATAATACTGTGTTATCTCCAATACCAATTGTCATGACCCATCCGATGGGAAACTAACACAATAACTTGATCAGCGTAAAAATGTTGACCAAAATAAAGATAATAGTCAGCAATGCTTAAGCCCAAATTATCAATAATAGGTTCGCTAGCCTTATATGTTATCATCATAATCATTCTCCCACTTCCAATGTGGGATTATTTGGGGTGTCACAATGAAGGAATCTGATACATATGTAGATGTTCCCCATCAGTCTGGTTGATCAAGTTTCTTAAATTGAACTCTGTGTCCATACTATCCTCAAGCCATCCAAAAAGGTGTTCTCAGATCCCTCTTCATTGCCTTATATGTTGCAAATCATTGTCACGATCTACAACTCAAGTCACATTTTATTACCAGAAGCCATCATTTGAATAAGTCAATCGACATTTAAGCCATCTTGGAAAATTCCTAACTAACTCCCCACTGAAAGATCTTAAAGCTACAATTGATTATTTAAAACCCTTTTTTCATCTACTAGCAGATCTCAAGATGTGCTTGGGGATTGATCGAGCGAATTACTGCAAGATAGTTGCGCATAGTTAAGTTTAAGCAATTTTGCCAAAAGAAAAGTTTCCTAATTTAATGTATTATAGAGCTATTTCAGTAAAGAGTCTTCGAGCTTGCTCTAGAATACTTCAGTTAGTAGTTTGAGGCAAGTTCTAGCTCCTTATATCAATCTAATTTCTATGACTAAGCCCTTAAATATAATTTTAAGATGGAATCAAACTGTTCTAACACGATAAATGAATAGTTCTTTGGATGAGAATTTCTTAAGTGTATTAGTTGAAGTAGACTCCAAGATGAGCTGTAAGGAATAGCATGAACAGTGATTTTGGAGGAAAAAAATGAAATTTAAAATAAATTTTCATGTGTTCGAGAATTTCTAGGCCTCTGGCCTGCTAATCTTTTCTTCCTGATTCCTCTTTCGGCTATATCTTTCTCTTCTTTACATCTTCCTCCTCCACCTCCTTTTTTCTAAGGAATCATATTCCTATTATCTATTTCTCCCAATTTTTAACGCACCTGCAGTATTATTCCGTTTTTAAAACCAAACAAATCATAGCTTGATTGGATTTTCTCCAACAATAACTCCATAAGGAATTTTGATTTCCTTTCCGCATTACATTTCAGGGATATAAGTTGCTACAATTAAAAAATAAACAAGTTATCTAATTTCAAAAAGAATCAAGAAAACATTATTTTTTTATAGTCTCATTAATGTTGAAAATAAAAATGCTCTAAATATGAGGTCTTCACAAATCACAATGGGAAAAATCAGTAGAGTATCCATGTGAAATCATTGCTTGCTTCCTAAAATCCTTCATCAAAACTGTGATTGCAAAGCAGCAGAGCAGCCCTGCTAAATCAAATCAAGACAATAAAGCTATAGAAAAACTGACAGTAATGTTATTATAGAGGTCATAACTCATAACCACATTAGGAAGATTCTTGCACACTTAAATGGTCTTACCTGATGATATAAAAAGAATAAACGAAATGTTAACAATGAAGAAAATATTCCAACATAAAAAAATAAACATTGATTTTTCCAGATGACAAGACAGCTTAATTAAGATCCTTTTCTGGAGGAACCTTTCCGTGTATGACTTTCCTTGTCATTAATTAATGCAAGAAACCTAGCGATCTTGCAAAAATAAATCAGTTACTAACACTAATATCTTAGTATAGATCAGAAATTACCCTAGAAGGGCATTACTGTTGAGACATCCACTTGTTGCATAATTGATAGGTCTTGAGTTTGAGTCCATATATGAGTTGTTAATGGATATTTCTTTTTTGAAAAAAAGAAGAGCATCTGACTGAAACATCAAAATGTACTCTAGTTTTTACATATTTTTTACTTTCATGATGCACTATCTTCTATACAACCCAAAGTGTCATTATAATTTCAATTATAAGTGAGCCTCCATCAAGGACTCTGACATCCACACCCACGAATCTTGTTGAACATGTATCCAAATGTCCATGAGGCAGACACCTACGAAACTCTCAAATAATATATTCCAACAACAAATGATACAACAACATGATAAGTATATATCTTTTTAAGAACTTGAAATTATACAACAACATGATAAGCCTCCTTCAAGTGTTGTTGCTTGTATGAACTCAACTTTTTAAATATCACATTCTCATAACATTGTACTCATCATATGAAATTTTAACTATTCTTTTCATACATTGATCCATATGGGGGTTCGGGCTCGATGATCCGTTGATCCGATACCACCTCTTGGATGGAAGTTCTGACGAAGGAGAGAACTATCGCTAAAAGATCAAGTGTAAAACCAAAAGAAAACAACCTCTCTGGCTTGTAAAGCTAAAGTGCTAACTACAACGCTTAAAGCAACAAAATAAAAGTGCAAATAGAGACTAATAGGTGCATAAGAACGCAAGTTATCTTTGGACAACACCTGAATGCTCTTGACAGATTACGGATTGTTGCTGGTTTCGGTCTCCTCTCTTGCTACTAAAACCTGCTCTTGAGGTTTGGCTAGCGAACAGCAAGTCTTGGGACTTCTTTCAGCAGTTGGACAAAGCTTCCATGAAGAACTTTGGCTGCTGAAACTCGAGGAAGAAGGGATTACAGCTGGAGGGCAAAACCCTTTTTTGAACTCTTGTTCTTTTGACTCTCTGCACCAGCTAGAAGGCTAGGGTGGACTATGGGACTTCTTGGTTGCCTTTGGTTGCTTTTGTTCTTCTTTTTGTTGCTACCAAAAGCCTCTTTGGAAGATATTAAGGCTGGCAACAAATCGAGAAAAATTGAGAAAAGATCTCTGCACCAAGGTGGCCATAGGCAGGAAGAAGAGTTGCTGATCTTGCAAACCCCTTCCTCTCTCTCTCCTCTCCTCTCAGCCTAGGGCCAGTTGGCTTCTCAAGAGGGGGTACAACTTGGATACTTCAAGGGGGGCTGTAACCCCTTGGACTTATAGGATCGAGGGCGTCCAAAGTCCAATACTGATTAGGACCTCTTATCAGTTCCCTGCAATCACAAGAGTTTTCTGTTGGAGGGTGCGCTAGTTGTCTAGGTGCTACCCTAATCCTAGTCCTACTAGGATTGGGATTGAGATGACTTGGGGATGCTCTAGATGAGTCTCTCCTCCCTTTTTTATAGCTGAGATAGGGATGAAGTCCTAGCTACGTTAGGACTTGGAGAGTCCTAATGCAGATAGGACTTGGAGAATCCTAATACTCTAAGACTTGGAGAGTCCTAATGCATTTAAGACTTGGAGCTTACTTGAATATGGTCTTTAAGCTCGAGATTGGGCTTGGTTTAGTTTGACCAAGATCGAATTATAGTCCAACTGGAATTCCAATTGGGTCAATTGGAGTTCGGCTTGAACTGTGCTAGATCATCCTGATCATACATGTTCCTATATATCATATCATTTTTTTAATTATTCTTTTCCGACATGTCACTAAATCTATATTTTGTCTCGCAGCCACACTTGGATATGCATCTTGTGTCTAGTCCATGCAATACTTAATATTATAAAGAAACCATATAATGCATATTCCTACTAGAAAAGGGAAAACAATTAATATGGAAAAGCTCAAGTCAGTAAAATAAACATAACAAAGATTTCACAAAGATAAATAGAACTTACTTGGAACTCTTTCACTATAGATTAAATAATCCCAACTCTTTCACTATAGATTAAATAATCCCAACCCCACCCCCACCCCCACCCCCTATTTTTCAAAAAAAAATAATCTCCAGTATTTTCAGGTGCTACTGTATGAGAATGCAACTGACGTGGAATGAACAGCAATCTATCTGGAACATTAATTACTTCAACTTTAACTACTGTATGAGACACTCATTAGCAAGCTTTTGAAGATAAGTCGCTTAAACATCATGATAAGCTCCATTTAGTTACATACTGTCACTTGTATGTAAAGGAAAAGAAAGGTTAATTTAACATATCAAGTGCCATCATGGATGTAACACAGTTTGTTAAGCATTGTACTTACTTAACATCACTTCCTTTCCTGAAAATCCGAATAGATGGGTAACCTTGAATATGATGCCTGCAAAGTTTTTCAAGTTGTGTCATATTCTACCTTCAAAGAGCAGTGGCAAAAGATACAAGATGTCAAGATTAATTGATTGAGTAGTACTTCATGTATAAGAATCAGAAGGTGAAGTTCTTTACATAAGTTCTCAGAAAAGGAGGTATGGCAAAGATAAATAAAATTAAAATATATGCATAGTTGTTCTGCTTATGATTTCTCATATTTTATAGTTGATTCGTCTTCTCTTGCTTGTCTTCTCATTCATCTTCCTTCTTCCAATCATTTCTTCTTATTTTCCAAGTTCTTACTTGAAGCACAACAAACTTTAAAGGAAATAAAATTAGATTCCAATGCTAGTATCATACTAAACAAGGTTCACCGTACCACTGTGTGCCACTCGGTATGAACAATACATACTGGTCCAATAGGGGATTGGTAAGGGTGGCACATACCAATCTGTCGGTAAATCATGTGTCGGTATATCGGTATGTACTATACCAACGATCGATCGGTACACTAGTACGGACCAGTAAGACAAACCATAATATAAACTACAAAGCACTTTGCATAAAACCAATAAAGAAGTAGATCTAATAAAGTTCTCAAAAAGAGAATATTTAAGAAAAACAACACACAATGTCATACATAAAACTTGTCTTTCAATTCAAGTTATCCACCTTACAGTTCAGCCCTAGAAAATCTTCAAGGTGATCCAGAAGTTTCCTTCAAACTTTGTCATTTCTGATCTAGCAGCAATGACAATGCTAAATGTTAATATGTAGCTTAGGGCTACACTATGCCTAGTTTAAAGATCAAGAAATAATCTTCTTAAATTAAATAGTCCATGAACTAATAAGATCTTTAATAGAATAAAGCCATACAGGAATTTCTATTTATTGTAAGAGCTGTCAACCAAAGCTACTTGGATTTCCAGAATATCATAGTTATGAAAGTTTTGGAATAAATTACATAAACTAAAGTTTCTAACCTTTGCTAAACTAAAATATTAAATAATTGGATAGTCTCCAATTCTTCATTACCCCATACAATTAGTAGAATAGTACCAAAGATCACTTGTAACCTGAAATTTAATTAACATGATAATTTCAAGGAATGGCAAACCTAACATGAAAAGTACCTTCTGCACAATTCTGCTTCTTGAGTACAATCAACTTTTCCCAACAAAATCCGTCCATCCATTTCAGGATCATGTCTGAAAGTATAAAAGTTAAAGTGAAAAATGAATATTTATCTCAAAAATAGAGCATAAAATAAACAAGATGGGAACAAGAAAGAACTAAAAGCAACACCTTTCTTTGATTATTTTAGCTGCCCTCTCCCATGATGGTTTCTGAGACAAATGATCAAACACAAAGAGAAAACTGAAAATAAATACAGACCTTTCAAACCATTCATTGAAAGAACATGGCATCATATATAATGTCTACTCAGGAAGGGTTTAAAATGTGAAATACAGATATTGCATCATCAAGGAAATGAACAACTGATGCAAAGGCTTCAAAAATTTTAAATGTGGCCACAGGAGAAGCATAAGGATGGCTGATCAGATACTGCTAATGTGTAGGCTGTAACTATCCTTTAAAAAGAGGGACTATTCATGCTTGCTTAACTAATATGGACTAGCTTGAATCTTTATTAAATAAAATGAGCCCTGAACATGGACATGGACATGACATGCAATGAAATGGAACGAAGCATTTGTTACTTCTTGTGAGATGGAATACTCAAATCCTAGGTAATAAATGGTATAAATGTGGACAAATGGATTTAACTATTTATTTAATATGATATGAAATGTCAAGATGCCAGCTTATTATTATTTCCTGAAATAAATACTTCAAATTTTTAATACAAATTACTACAATTTGATCAACTAGAATTTGTTCTTTAATCAGCCAGAGCATGTTACCTTGTTAATTTAAGTGTTTTACTGTGACAAGTTGTATAACTCACTCCTACAAAACTTTTCTAAGAAAACCAAAAGTCTCACTATCTTTCACAACAGCACCTTCTTGAACAATGGAGAAACTAGGTTTACTTTTACTATTTTCCATTGCAGTAGTAGTTGATTGTCGTCAGAAACATGAAAGCAAATGCAATAGTAACATTATGAATGCCTCTAAAGTTATTCTAAGATGCATACTTCATGTTCAATCTACTCATAAAAAGGGTTTCAAATAACAGTCAGGACAGTGTAAACCTGTATGATAGTTACCAGTTTGACCACGAACACGTACAACACCATATAGCTTGGTCTCAGTAATTGTTGTTCTTTAAGTTATACTGGATGTTACAGATCAGTATTACAAATGGTAATATTGGTACTCCACCATACCAATAGCTTACAAGAAGTCATCATAATTGAGATCTGACTGATATTTTAACACCAAGTTTATAACTATAGTAGAAATGGCAAGTACAAATTTTGACTCAAGAATCAAAGTTCTATAACATGGTCTGTTGGCTAACATCCAAGTTAGTAAGTGCCAACGGCACACAACATCATGTTGACATGGGTGCTAGTAGAAACTAGGTGGGGAAGGGCTTAAATCAATTGGTTTACAATTACAAAAAAGTGTTTATCTTTGTGGACAAGTCCAACTGCTGTATCATTTCTGACAAATGTAATATATCCAACATTCGATGGCATTTTTAGCATGACCTAGTAAAGATTGTGGCATCATCCATTCCAAAATATAAAAAAGTTTGCTTTTTGAGGCCAATCATGAAAGATAACAAGTGCAACACCTAATGATTTGAATCAATTTATTTCAGACAAATAATAAGGTGAAAGCCCTTGAACAAAGATAAGCTATAGAGCTCTAAAGCTCGAACACTTCAAAACCCTTTGTAGTTTCCTTGTCTTTCAAGACATCCTAGAGATGCCAGATATTCCAAAGGATATCATCAATATTAAGACATGTACGATCAGATATTAATAAGACATATCTACTTTGTCCTTTTAACATAATGGCCAAAAATATTTTCTTAATATTTGCATAATCCATACAAGTATACAACATATACTTTCATATATATGATATTGAGAACATACATAAAATACATATTGCTGATTACTAAGTTATTCATGTACCATGTCTTAATTTTTTAACATTAACGAAGTTTCGAGTGTCTGTACTATGTTGTGTCTATGTCAAAATTCATAATTCATACCTATCGAGGCAAAGGAAAAGAAACAAGACCTCATCATGTACTGAAAGGTCTGAAATGGGTTAGATGGGAAAGCTTCACAATAACTCCCTTGTTAAAATGATATGTGCTGCACATATAGCCTGGAACAGCATGAATCTTTCTGTGATCCTTTTTTTGGTTTTTGCCCAATAGCAGAGTGTATTTATTAATTACAAGACTAACACCCATCCCACTGATGACTTGAAGGTGAATATTTCTCTGTGCTCCTTTATAGAGTGACCACTTAAGTAAACATGGCATCAGCTTTGTGGGAGAGGACAGCAATACGTTATCTGATAAAATGCAGATGTAGCATTTATTAAGGACTAGATCATATATATGTCCAAGATATGAACCCTCTATTACATAATGGTACTGAAATGACTTATGCTTTCAAAATCTGGTTGCATATATCCTTCGGTACAAACAAAAGCAACTTACATAAGTAGTAGAATTTACAAGAGGCATACTACCAAGTATCAACTAACAACCTTGTAGTGAGGCAAGAAAACTACCCCTTTTGTTTTGCAGAAAAAGGAACTAAGAAAACTACCCCTTAAAACAGCCAAAAACAGCTTGAGATCCTAGGATTAGAAAGTCTCAAGAATAATATGACATTTTCCAGTCCAGACTTTGGTGTAAAGAGCTAGCTTAGTCAGAAAGAGATAAGTTCTGAGATGGCTTCAAACAAAGTCCAGGAGTTCATAATCTCCATGCATCTTCCTAATCGTATAACTGAGGAATTGTCACTTTAATGAGGCAATGTCCTTAATATTATCATTATTTATCCCCAACTTACTATAGTATAAAAACACAAATCTGATATTTAACATCACAAAATCTGATGCAAGGCTAGACAAAAGCAGAATTACCAAGCGATTGCTCCAATAACACCAGGGTGCAAAAAAATTGACAACTAGGATTGAATACCTGCAAAAGAGATTTTGAGATAAGTGAATAAGGAGCTTGCTGCTATTATTAATCACGAGATGCCCATGCTCCTATCAGATCTAGACATAACATATGGTGCATTAATTATAAATATATATTAATAAAAAAGACTAAGCTTACGTACCATGTCTGAAAATCAAAGAAAATATCTTATTGAATAATCACAGCAAGTTTGATGCTCAACAAACAAATTAAGAGATGCATGCAAAACTAACCAGTCTGAAAAACTGTACACTCGTAAGAGAGATTTATAGCTACTTTTACAGTCACCATGGATGACAGTAGATAGTTAAAGTTGAAACTATGTATGCTAAAACGTTGTACAGATGGAAATACCTTAAAAGTTAACTTCTAGGACCTATTTGCAAAAATCTCTTTCTTGGGTATCATACAGCTTTTGATGCTTGCATATGATGAAATCTAGGATCAAAAAATTCTTCCAATGCACTTCATTTAATCAAATTCTCTCATAGAAAATATGGCACTGGACATGGTAGAGTGGACTAATCAATTCAACAATAAAAAGAACTAGGCAATGAAATATAAAAATAGAAAATTCATTTCCAAAGCTCCAATTCATATAATCATAGTACAAAAATTAGTGCCTGAAAACCAAGGATTGTTGTACCACCTGAAATGGTACAAAACAAGTGGTACACACGGGTCCAAGCATGGGCCAATACACAGACCACTCCCATTTCAGGCAGCTCGATCAAGTTTAGTAAAAATAAAAAATAATAATAATAAATAGTGATGGGGCTGTCCAACTTGGTGTTAAAAAAAATTAAATAGAAATTAGGGCTCACGTTCTTCTTGCGTTCAATGTTGTCGTCGTTGCCGCTGCCACTATTTCGCGACATTGCTGCCAATGCCGTTGCCGCAACATTCCTTCTTCTTCTCAAGTATGCTCGCACCTCTTATCCTCCTCTTTTTCCTTCTTCCTTCTCCTCCATTGCTTCTTCTTCCTCCATCCCTTCCTCTTCTTCATTCATTCTTCCTCCTCCCTCTATTCCTCCACCACACATTCCTCTTCTCCCTCGTTTTTCTTCCTTTCCAAAACACCAGTACATACCAGTGTACTAACACATAGTACACCAATATGTATCAGTCCGACAAATCAGTGAAATGGGTCCGGTTACCGAAACGACGATCCTTGCTGAAAACTGATATCATAATCCTCATTCATATCCCTAATATTATAACTAAAATATTTTGTCAGGTAATGAAGCAATGCCCTAAATATTATCATTATTTATGCCTGACTTAGAACAGGATAAAAGCACAGTCTGACATTTAACATCATATATCTGATGCAAGGCCAGACAAGACAGCATTACAAAACTTATTGATAGCATTAATTAAGACTAGATTGTTGGGAATATAAATTTGACCACAAGAAGTGGTTGGTTGGTGTTGGGAACAGCATTTGATAAAAACTAGGAGATCCATGTTTGATCAAGTGTTTGACAAAGTGGGTGTATAATGCATTTTTCCCGATGCAATAAAATAAAAGTAGAAGATGCCTGCAGCAAACCAGCAAAGAGACTAAAAATAAAATTAGAGAAAGAAGCACATGGAGCGATCATAAGACAAAAAAGAGATCAGACATTTCGCTTCAATTACAAAATTACTGAAAAATATGATGAAGGAAAAAAAAGAACAAAAATCAACCAAATGAGTTTCCAGACAAAGAAAAGAGACTTTCTTCTTTTGGCTTAAATAACTATATATCTATGTTTTCTAGAACCACTTCATAACATCTAAATCATGAATTGAACAAGTAAAAAGAGAGATATGAGGCCGGGCAGTCCAAGAAAGAGAACTAATTGTTGCTCATATTCCATAACTCTGAAATGAAGCAAACTCTGAACCTAAAAGCAATTGTCAAATGGTAAAATTGCAAATGCAGCGCCTCTATCTGTAAGCAATAGTTACAAAAGAGCCATTGCATAAAGGACAACAAAGCCATCAATGCGCCACATGATATCCGAAAGAATATGGTTTTAAAATTGAATACTTACTGATGTGCATATTTCTCAAAACTCTCAGCAGTCAAAGAATCTGAACCATCACTATATTCTTCTTGAAAATCATCTCCATGTTTATTAACTTTTGGGATTGGTCCAGAGTGAAATTCTGATCCAGTTGGAATCAGATTCGGATCTATTGAAAATTTTCGAACTGTTTTTGTGATATTTAACCTGTTCTGCAAATTGTTGAATGTGAATTAAAGTTAAAACTCAGATTAAAATAGGAGAATAGTAGAGGGATTGAAGACCACATTGTAATTAAAAAATGTCAAGATAAATATTAAAATGACAGAACAGAAACAACAGATCACTATTTAAATATTAAATTTTAATTTTAAAGTGAACATGGTATTACTACTAATGCAAGAGCAAGTACAAAAATCATAAATACAACTTATATGTGGGCTAAATAGGTGAAAAGGATTTATAAACATTTAACTTTCTCTTCCAATGGCTGCCAATTAGTCGGTGTATCTTTAAAGTCATGACAAGAATAGAGATGGACCCACCTCTTTTAGCCGAGCTCCAAGTATCATCACAAATGACATATGCACCTCATGATCTCAAACTATTATGGCTCATTACCTATTATCAAACTCAACTATAGTGGGCCTACATCCAATATGGCTAATACAAAGGAAAGACACCTCAATCCAAGTAGGCATTTACATCATTGCTGTGATCACTGCTGAGGAATGATGACTCAATGTCAAGATTCCTCCCATCACCAACTGTTGTCACCGACAACCATCTTTAGTAACCATCACCAATACCCACCATCTACAATAAGAATCAACCCCTCATCTTCTAATTCCTCATGCATATATATAATGAATCAGGATCCTTCGGTGCCATTGCCAGAATGTGGGATGAAACCTGGCGAGATGGAGGTAAGGGCCAGTTGCCTTAGGATAGGAAGTGAGGAATAACAGTGAGATCTTAATTCTTAGGAAAGAGAAAGGGAGAATACTAATAAATCTTCAAGTTGCATATGCAGGTAGGATAGGACACGAACATGTTTAACCACAAAATTGAGTTGAATAAATCATTCATCTTAGTCGGGTTCAGATTCTCAAGTCTCAACTCAATAACTCAAAATCCATTAACCAGATAACTCATATCTAACTAAACCTATATTTGACTCAAGACTAACCCGTACCAAAGTATCAATATTAAACTGATTGGCTCAACCATATTCCGTATGTGAACTAACCATATTCCGTTAATTATTAGATTGGTCAAGTTAGGTATAGACCCAGATCTGAACTAAGTATAATTATGACTCCGCCATATGCTGGCACATTTAGATCACTCTGCTAAGGACAGAAATCACTTGAGGGCCAATACATAATATAACATCTTTTATGGACTAGTAAAAACATCATAACCATCATTTAACCTCTAACTATGGTTCAAAAATGAGTTGATGGATTTGTCATGAACACAGAATCAATTTAGCATATTCATTTCCTTATATTCCATATATGGAATCCATTTGATGATTATGCTGCCATTTGATTCTATAATTCAACTATTCAAGCATGCTGATAATGTTGCACGATGTACCATACTCCCATGATAAGTTTGTGAAGTAGAGAAGCATGTACTAGCTATATAGAACTACCACATACATGATAAAAGTAGGCATCAACAAAAAGGTAATACTAGTAAATGCCAAAGACAGATACTTACAGTTCCCAGTACATCACTCACATCAACTGATGCAAATTCACACGACAGTGCTGGGAAACTACAAATAAATTAAACACTTGAACAGTCAGAAGAACCAGGGCATATGTCACAATAGAAAAATGAAAAAGGATGCTCAGACATGATTCATGGTATACACAAACTCCATTCAACCATATAAAGCAAGATGCACCAAAGGCATGATCAAAAAACAGACAAAGATCCAGATAATTGGTGCAAGGAAAACACTGTCATAGTCCATCTAGAAAACAATAAGCCAAATCTGTAACCAATTACCAACTAATTCAACATGGATGGAAAAAGATTTACAAGCTATTAGAAAATGACATAAAATTGCAGCGGACATATGCACTCAAAAGATTATAGGAGCAAATTTTGAAACCAAGTTCAGCAGAATAATGCTTTGATATGGTAAAAAAGGTAAGTTAATCAACTGCTCAAGCTCTCTGCACATAATGTATCCAGTAATCCTTGATCAAGTCCATCCATCTCAATAGCTTAGCTTTAGATTATTCATGTGCACCTGTATCTAGTTTGTAGTATATGTACAATGATAAAGACAATGATAATAAAACCAGGGCTACCAAGCTGGATCATCAAGTTGGAGGACTTCTCATTGTTTTTGTCTCATTTTGGATGGTTGCTAGAGGATAGCTTTCTTTGGCATCTCTTGGGGTAGATCATCAAATTATTAAGGATAAAACATCTTGCGTGTAATTGTTTTGATACCATTATAGATAACATGTGTGTAGGTCTGTAGGAAACTAGGAATATGGTCTTTAACTTGTGATGTGGAGTTTAACTTGCTAACAATGTAAATAGGATTATTGTGCCGATCTACATGTGTCAGTACGTTAGAATATATCATGTCATAAAGGTGTTAATAAAAGTCTCATTACCCACAACATGAGGCTCCCACCAGGGGTCTAGGGAGGGTCAATATAGATGTAGTTTTCCCTCTAAATATAAAGAGGTTATTTTTGCAACTTGAAACTTGGTCTCCTGGATCATAAAAGAGCAATCTTAGCATGAAATATTAGCATTCCAAAAGGGCAACAACAAGCTACTGCATAATATGGCAATCCTTGATGTGCATAATTCTTTTTTACATTTCTTACACCATGTATGATTCCAAAATGTCTTGGAACATTAAATTATAGATATAAATATAAAATAATTTTTAATAATAGAACTCATGTCACCATGTCCTAATTCAAGTTTCGTTTTGTCACTCTGTGTCATATTGTGTTTGTGGCCCATGTCTATCTCCATGTTCCATAGTTTGAAATTATGCATTAAATCAAGGTATACAGTTTTGAATAATACCGCCCGATATGGGCGGTACGTACCGGTCCGACAATATATCGGTACGCGGACCGCCCGCTACCGAGCGGAATCCCTGTTAGCTTTATAGAGAAACCGTCGATCGTTGAATTTCTTAAAAATCAGAATCCCTGTTAGCCACCTATTTAGAAGATAGATGCTTATCAGAATCTACCATTACACACAGATGAAGGTATGTGAGAAACCTCTTCTGAATGCAGAAATGGAGACAGCAATAAAAATGTTTCTAATTTATATATGTATAGAAAAGAGTAACTGTTCCAAGAACAGACAAGATGAATTTCAAAAAAAATAATGAAAGTTCAACCTTATGTTAAAATCAATGCGCAAGAACTCCCCATCCGAACTCCTATCAACAATTACAGATGTCGTCGTGCTCACCGTCAAATAGTTGTTCAACTCCTGAAATTAAAATTTGTTACAGCTAGGGGCAAGAAAACAAGTCTGATAGAAGAAACCACCGTTTGCTAAGAAGACAAAGCAGGTAAAGTTTTCAATGAATTTTTCAACCAACAAACTGAATTTGAAGATGGTTTGTGTTGTTTGTCGAAATGTAGAAAGAGCATGACGAACGAAGTTAGAGAGTAATGTGCTGAGATCCTTAAAAAAACCAACTGTAGGAAAAACCGTTACCTTATGATGGATAATTACAACGGAAGAAAGCAAACCTTTCATTGGAGAAGTCATTACTTATGGTGTTACATCAACAAACAGAACTTCATAAGGGCATCTACACGTAATCTATTACAAAATTTGAAGATGTCTTCATAATAGGTAGTTTGATGACTTTTCAGTGTCATCCTCTTCATAATAGTTGCATATCATTTTCAACTTAAAAATCCAGCTAACAAATGTCTAAAATAGTTAATAGCAGTTGGTTATACCTTCTCTTTTTTCTTAATCCAAACATTTAAGGTGCTGAAATGATAGTAATAACAAGAATGAAAAAAAGCACTAGGACCAAGTTAGACTAGCTAGATATCCCACAACTTCATTGAAGAATGCAGGCATAGTGCTTTCCTCAAAGTAGAAGAAGAGAAAGAAAGACAATCATGTAAACCAAGGAAAAAAGAAAAGGACAAACCATTCCAAACAAAAACATCATGGAGAATGCAGCTACGATAGATAATCCTGCACCTGAAAGTGATGCCTCTGTCAAATCTCGAGGTATTTTCCTGTAGTCAAAAAGAGGTGTTAGGTACCAATAAAAATTAAAGTAGGTTTACAATTCTTTTCCAATAAAATTATCATAAAATTTTAAAGAACCACATCTTAGTACTTTTTGTGTTTCAATTGAAAGTTAAAAATGTATGCCATCAAGCATTCTTATAAGGTGATAGAATAAATTGTTGCCTAAAGAAAATTTACATGGCAAAACAGTTAATGACCAAAAATTACTAACATTAACATTTACAGATCTAATTCTTCATTGGTGCTTATTCCAAACCCATGAACACATAAAATAATCCAGTCAAAGTCCAACCTACTTGATGTATCCTCCTCTACCCATGGGAAAATCTAGAGGTAGAGATACACTGGACCTTAATACTGTGAGCAAGACAGCATGACTCGTCTACAGTCCTCAAAAAGCTAGAGACCGGAATAATTAACTTTCAGTTTTAACTTGGGACTCCTGAATTCCTATAGTCACTAAAAATTCAAATCTTTCCAAGGTGAAACTCCAATCATAGCCCCTGGCGATGTAAAATACATCTCAAAAACAAAATGCAACTGCTTTTCCTTAACCCAGCACGTTCCGCGTGACATGAATTTTAGCATTACAAATGTCCATCCCTAGAAAAATTTGTAAACCCATTAAACAATAACCCAAAGAATGAACAAGAAAAGATATGCAAGATTTACACGATCTCCTCTGTTTCAGTTTTATGACACATGCGTAAATAAACCGCAGTGACAATTAAAGAGAAAGTTGGCTCGATCCCATTGCCACCAATAAACCCTACAGATCCAAGATTCCACCAGTTCACCTTCCCAAACAGATGCATCAAAAAATCAAGAAACAACGGAATTAAAATTCACTAGACATATCCTAGATTCCACTTGCTTTCATCAAGTTCACCATCCCCGAACAGATGCACCAGAAATCAAGAAACGACAGCACTAAAAAGAAAATCTACTAAAAACAACAAGAAAGGAGTCACAGGATCCGGGCAATAATCCATGTAAAAGAAACGGCATTTCTGCATACGAAAGCAGGGATCTTGAAGCAAAGGATCAAACCTGTAGAAATCCACAGACTTGAGCTTGGTTGCGGAGATCATGGCTCCGACGATTAAGAGATCCCTCAATTCCTCTCCAAATCGATAAGGGGTTTCAGATCGTAACCCGAAATGAAGCGAGGGCGAGAGCGGGACAGAGTAGATCTCAAGAACTACTCAAGGTCTTCCTCCTCTTCGCTTTACGTTTCTTTACCCTCTCCTAGTGTGTTAAAAAGGATTCATCCACTCGGGAAAAAATTAGAAAAATAATATTAAAATAAAATTTTAAATATGCCCTTATGAAGTCAGTTGTCGTCCTATTTGCCCTTCTAATGCATGTATTCATGTAAAATTAAAAATGACAAAAAAATACAAAAGACTCCTGTATTCATGTATTTATGTAGTCAGATATCACCCTATATTCCTATTTTCCCTTCTAATGCATGTATTCATGTAAAAAATTTTAAGAAAAATTAGAAAAATAAAATAATAAAATTACTAATGTGTCCTTATGAAGTCAGAGATCATCATTTTTGCCCTTCTAATGCATGTATTCATGTAAAATTAAAAATGACAAAAAAATACAAAAGACTCCTGTATTCATGTATTTATGAAGTCAGATATCACCCTATATTCCTATTTGCCCTTCTAATGCATGTATTCATGTAAAAATTTTTAAGAAAAATTAGAATAATAAAATAATAAAATTACTAATGTGCCCTTATGAAGTTAGAGATCATCCTTTTTACCCTTTTAAGGCATGTATTCATGTAATATATATATATATACATATATAAACTTGCAATTACTTTTTTAATCAACTATTAGTATAATGATAATCTAACTCTAATTAATATGAATACCTTTCGGACAGATGACTCATCTATGGGCTCCAATCTTTTTTTTAATGGTGTATACTCACTCTCTTTCAATTTATGGAATTTGTAGATATTTATTTTCAAATAGAAAAGAGGAAACAAGCGAAAAGAATAACAAAAGTATGTTAGGTATAAAAATTATATATTTAAACTAATTTTAGATATTGATAACCATGATTCATAGTATTTAACTGCAGTTTCGTTTAGATGATTAATAGAAATAGCATATCTAGAGGATTTATACATTTGGAAGGATGTACATGCAATTAATTTACATTATTTTCAAACTTTGGAAGGATAGGCATTTAAAACTCCACTAGAAAATTAGTAAATATTTGTTTGTCAATTCCCATTTAGAGTTACCAACAAAATTTCTAACCAGACATTAAGTGGGTAGAAAACAAATGAAAATATCTTGGGAAATATTGACTTTTTGAAATAAAATTGCCAAAACAGTAAATTATTTAGATTGAAGTTTATTTTACATGAGAAATGATTTATACTTTAGACATAAGATCTATTATCAATTTCAAGAAAGAAACCTATGAGGACAAACTTAATTTGGCAGGGTGGTTCAGCATCAATATACAAGGCAGTTTGAGTCTGTAAAATCTGAGCTCTGAAGATTACCTGAGACTTTGAAGCTTACTGTAAACACAATTTGTCTTGAGAGGATGTGCATTCTTAGATGATTAAGCAAACTAAGGAGTAAAGAAAGCCACAGATAAAGAATTATCTATATGTTACAAAGAGCCTTCATGTTCAGAACAACATTTCAAAGCAGGAGTGATTGGATGAACCCCCTTTCTTGTCTCTCCTTCATGTCTTCCGTCTCCTTTTCTGTTTCCTTCTTCAAACTGGCTACTCTGGCATCACCGTCTTCTTTTTATGCATTATCTTGTTTCCTTCCTACATCAGCAAATACTTTTTCCATCATTTCAAGATACAGAATCTTAAAAGCCATTATTCTGACTGTGTGTGTGCAGACTTAGTTGAACATATAATGTTTGCAGTGTTTCAAGTTTATTCTTAATTCATTTCTCTTCTGGTCATAATTCACTGCCTTGCATATGCCCCTCATCTAGTAAACAGAAGCAAATAGTTATTCTGCAATTATAATCAAATAAGATAGTAGGAAGACCCAAACAAACAAACAAAAGATAGTGGGAAGACTACTTCTTGATGCTTTGGAGTTGTTTATTGGTAGTTCAAGTTGAAACTTAGGAGGTGAGTCCTGTCTACAATCTGCTACATTTCTGCAGACCTAGTTTTCATGACCATAACACCATCGAATCTTATCATGCACCAAACAAATAATTATTCTTGGATTATACTAAATTGAATTTGTCTAGTAAAGAAGATATTATATCGATACATCTAACTCTGGTGTCTTTACCATCCGAAAACCTTGGGATGTTCTTTTTATATATGCAGGGATGGCAAGATGCAAAGATTTATTTATGATGCAACGTATCTTTTAAACAGTGAGATTAGTTGTGGACAGGAAAGATTTCAGTTCTATTATATTCTGACTTTGTCAGTTTCACTGGATTCTCACATATCATTGGAATCAAACTTGAATTGGATAAATTAGTATCGACATTTTCTATGGTCCTTTGAACGAGACTTATACCGAATTATGTACTATTATATTTGTGTAGGCAAGAAACATTCAATGCATCTTCTATAGTTGAACTATGGAATATCTGGATTAAGAATTCAGAGAAATAGATTTGAAGATATTACAGCAGTAATCATCATCTGAGATGATGTGGTGATTGATTTCTGGTCACAGAGGTTTTGAGGAGTGTCAGCTTTAGCTATAATGTTTGTAACTGCTTATACCTGTCATCTTAGTTATATATGACTAGATTTCATCTGGTGTAACAACACTGTTCCAACTTGATTTGTTCAAACGGACTCATTCATTCTCAGGTTTAGATTTGATATGGGAAAAGTGATAGTGTCTATCAATTGAAAAATGAAGTCTAAACAAGCTACATATTTCAATTGGATTAAGAAGAAGAGAACAAGGTAGTAAGGGTGCAATTATGTGATATACATAGTGATTCCTAAGCAACATTAATCATCACAAAACTTCACAATAGAAATTGCATATAAGCCTCAAACCCAACTTTTAAGTAAATCGCATATACAATCTATACATTTGCACAAAGATAGGAACAGGGAGTCCTCTCCTTGGAGTATTTCCATGTTGCTCACTGATTAAAAGTCTATCCTAGATAGTCTACTAGCATGGACAAAGGAACTAAACAAAGCCCTCTTTTCTTCAGCTCTCTACACTCATCCGTCTTCTCAACAAAATCAAATCCATTTAGAGTTTGGTTCAGCTCTAGGCCATTCCTATTGCCGACATCATCTTCCTGCAACATGCAGAGGCAAAAGAACCAGGTTTTAGCTGGGACAAAATACTTCAATTAAATTCAACAGACCAAAGCAATTGTTTTCTAGTACCTGAGCTGTGTCCCTGCAATCATCATTCTTGTTTGGGTCACCAATCAAGTAACTCAAATCAGCAACCTGTTCTAAGCAATACATTTCACAGGAATGACTCAAAGTTACTGAAACCAAAGAATCCCTGCAAGACAGGGAATACAGTATAAGACGGAAAGAAGTTGTTGTTGTAACCTTGGGGCTATTGACAGGTGAGCTAGCAGTGTCTTCCAAAGAATCATCATGCAGTAGCCCCTTCCTCTTCTTTAAGCTCAGCTTCCTGTAGTTCTCCGACACCTGGAGGCTCGCTGACGATGGCTTCCAAGCAACACAAGAAGCAGCATCAGAGATCATAGAAGACCCGCTGACAACACCGAAGGAGAAGCCACCAGCTGCTTTCCTCTCCTCCGAAGCCATGAAGTCCTCGAAGTACATGGTCCAACCGCTCTCTTCAGAAGAAGCTGAACCATCCTTGGGACGGAAAGCGCTATTCGCAGACGGGTTAATTGATTCCTCCATCTCAAGGAAACGGAGATGGTGGGCATGTACATCAGGCAAGAGGCCTATGAGGTTTGTATATAGAACACGGGAAAGAAAGAGCAAATGAGAAATAAAAGAGAGAAAGAAAGGGATGTGAGTATTATATTGGCGTGGGGCAGAGAGGATGGAGAGAGTTCGAATCAATCACCTGCAAACAAAATGCTGGATTGTGACGTGCAAGAAGAGAATCAAAGGGATGCTTTGACATTACAACCCTCATACCTAACCCACTCATTTCTTCTCTTTACCTTGTTTCTACTGCCACTGTTGTATCATAAAACATCGAGAACTCTATCTTCACAGAGACGAAAAAGTTTCGTACGTGCTGATTTCACTGTCAAATTAATGAACGTCATATTTTTATTTTCTCTAAGACAAACATTGGCTCCATTATCCTATGGAACTAGTTTTGTTTGCAGTAATGAAACATCATCATCCTACTTCATTTAAAAAGGTAGATCATATCCTGGTGGTGGCTCTGGACACACCAGGGGCAGTTATTAGATAAGATCCCTGTCAAGTTACAACAAATCCTCATAAACCTACCTGTTTGACATAATTCATGTATTGAATGGACTCTACAACCACCATATGTTGTGTTGATGCTTCTCCTGCCTCTCCCTGCTCCTATTCCAACCAATTTTTGTCAAAGTAATCTTAAGTCAGTTCCTTTGGATAGGAGCATTATGTACAGAGAAAGAAATAACTTCATTGATGTGCTGACACACAAGTATCCATTTCATTATGTACTGATAGCAGCCTTTTAGTGTTGTATATGAGTAATATACCAATCATCATTATCTAACTGAAACTAGTAAAATAATCACATTCGACTAATCAATGTTTTGATTTGTTTGTGTATATGCCAGCATTGCAGTGTCAACTATGATTTAAAATTTGTGACACCATCACAACCACTAGTGCTTTATCTAAGAATGCTTTGAAATCTTCTGACAGACAAGTTGCTTAAAAGAAAGCAGAGGTTTATATGTGCTGAAGAGTAGGATAGTCCTGTAAAGGATTTGGGATTCCAAAACCTGTGACAATTAATTCCATTCAGTGTTGAAGAAGAAGATGTTCCCGGAATCTGCTTGTAGAATTGCTCATTTCATCAAAGGCAAAATTATTTTCCCTGCTAAAAAGGAATCACATAGTTTCCGGCAACAACATCACTTGGGGTGTTCATATCTGATCTGTTAAAAACTAGATCATGCCTTTCTATGTGCAGAAGAAGGAGACCCACGATAAATCCCCTCGACAACAGGAGGTTTCAACCTCAAATGGATTTTGAGGTGAGGAATCAAAGAAGAGGCCGGCCTGAGTTCCTTCTGGAAGGCGTGGAAACATGATAGTGTCATGCATTTCTGTGTTGATGCCCACAAACTAAATTTAATCTTTTCTTAATATTAGGTGAAAGTGCAATATACCATCAAACAAGATTTTTAAATCTAAACAAACAAAATTAAGAATAGAATACTCTAAAATCAAAAGTCATTTTGCGACACTTGTAGCATAATTAGAAAAAGTTGAAGAGAAGCATCGTTATGCTTCCAACCAATCAACACCCTATGGAGACAACTAATTGCAATTAATAAAGAACAGTAAGAGAATTCTTTTTTTGAATATATATATATATATATATATATAATATTTATTTTTCGGCAATTTTACAGATATTAAGTTTTTACAGAATTTCATTTTCCGTTATTCGATGTTGGATATACTTTTCTAACCAAAAATACATTTTCCATTACAGAAGTTAATTACTTTTTGTGTGGAAATATGGAGATGTATAAGAGATAAAGATTGAAAGATAATTAGGAGAATAGTTTCTTATGAGGCAAAAATAGAAGAGTCTTATTATATACGTTGATAACCTAAAAAAAATGACTTCATTTTTAAGATTGAATTGATGTCTTAAATTATTATTATTTTTATTTCTATAACTTGTATCTTTTTGACTTGACGAGTTTCTCGCTGACCTCGGATGAAGCTGGTGTTTTTTCTTCGTTGTTTGCCAAAAACCTTTTGACCTCGGCACAGGTGTGTTGGCACTTGATCATCAAGTAATCGGATATTTTCTTGTGTTGAGACAGGACAAGATAGATCAAGTAATCGGATATTTTCTTGCTTATCTTACACTCTATCTTGCCTTTCTCGGAACAGGATTGATTCGCTTCCAAATCTTTCTTACCTTCCACTATATCATTCTTAACGTGATGGGAATTCACTTTCTTGGGAGGCTTAATGGCTGCCTTCGCGGCGTCCGCACTGGTCTCCTCCATCTGGCAGCAAATAGACGTGGCGATGTGCCACAACAGGATTCTCTCGTCGAAGCTCCAGTGGAGGTTCGTGTAGCCCATTTTCTGAAGCACCCATTCCCCTCAGCGGGCTCGCAATCGCTTCTGCAACCGCGCTGTGGGCCTTGCCCTTCAGTTCCTTGAATATAAGTGTCTTCAGATCATCATCCACGTCCGTATTTTCTACGCCATACAGGCTATCCCACACTTTCAATCGGAGGAGATGCAAGATGCTTCTGCAACCGGTGTGCTTCTTGTCCTTCGGTTACAACGACGGCTATGGTCTCGAGCCCAAGAGCGGCAAGGAGGAGGACGTTAGTTATGGTGACGTCGGCTTCGTTGAAATCATGCTTCTCTGTATAGTGGAAGAGCACGAGAGCGAAAATTGCGAGTAAGAGCGAGAAGCCGCGCAGCATACGACCAACCAAGTAGGGTATGGACATGGGCAGCTTTGGTGTGGAGGATGTCGTGCAGGAAAGAGAGCTCGAAGTCCACCACTTGGAACGCCTGGTTCCACTTGCCCCGCAAGAAGGTTTGGCTTTCGATCTGATCCTGCAAGCTCAGCATGAGGTTTACCGTGAGGCTCTTGAAGGACTCGAAGAAGCGATAGGCCACGGATATGGCCTACACTTCAGACATATATAAGACATCTTCGTTGGGTAGGGTAGGCGTGTCTGCAACTTGGACCATCTCGAAGCTTGCCTTCAGCCCAGCGGTAACACTAGAACGATACGCTTTCATGAACTTGTAGTAGTCAGGCCCGGGATCCTGCTCGGTGATCATGGATTGTTTCAGCCGGTCCATTCTGGCCGACCACAACGCCAGTGTCCGCTCTGCATATTTGAGGATTCCGGCGGTGAACACCACGATGGCGATCTTCCACAGGTGGGGGCTCGGCAACGACTCGAGGAACAGCACGATGGCCATGGTAACTTCGTACAGTAGCCCAATCAAGTGGCGCAGCCACAGCTCATTGTCCTCGAGGGAGTAGGAGGTGGCGGTGTCGGGGCCGCCGAGGTGGAGAAGAAGGAAGGTTTCCCAGAGGGCAATGGGGCCGCAGTTGACGTGCTGGTCGCTAGCCTCGATCTGCTTGCTGAGGAGATTCCCCAACGCCAAGGTGGCGATGTTGTCAGACGCCCAGGTAGGAGAACCACAGGATAATCCTCAACAATGTTTTTGAGCTCCGCTTCCGAAAGAGGGAAAAGAAGATGAGAATGATCTGCAAGGCGAGGCTGAGGAGAACCAGGATTCGGATTTGTTCCGCAATCCATAGCTTCCTAATCTTCCTGGAGATGAACTCCATCGCCATAGGCTGGCTTGTTAAAACTCCGCCTCCCTAAAGTTAGTTTATGCCCAAAGCTTTGCCATTAAAATGAAAGTAATTGGTGGATTCATGACTTGTGAAAAGAGGATTACATTAGATTCTGTGCTCTAATGTTTTCAAAAGCATCATTAATCATCATCTTCTTCTTCAATGTGAAGTCTCATCTCCTTATTTCTATTAACAAAATTAAGGTATAAATCTTCTTTTAAGATTCTATAACCATCATACTTTTTAAATTTTAAATATTTTAGATCAACGATTAATGAGCCAGTTACTTCTTCGAATCAAATAAAAAAAAATGAAATTGAAACCTACTTAAATAAAGAATTAATTTATGATCAAACTAGAGATGGTTGTATTTTAGATTAATGGTCAACCACATTCCGCACTTAGTATCTTTGGTCAACACTTGCACATCACATTGAGAATTTTTAAATCACGATCAATGAATCAAATCGAATAAAAGTAGCATGCATCACATTGGATAGTAATTCAACTCAAAGCCTTAAACTTATTATTAAATTATAGATCAAACCTAATATATGTCAAATCACACCAATTCTCTTTTTAATTCTTATGTCGTATATAAATATTTTTCTTGATAAAATTAAGAAAAAAATTTGTTTCGTGCAATAATAATTGGGATTCACATCTTGAGGTCATAAGATTTGAGTGAGTCATACGTTAAAAAGGAAAAATATAATAATAATAATAAGGTAAAAACGAAAATAAAAAAATTAAAATGAAAATAAAATTTAGAGATAAAAGGGAAAATTTTAAAAGAATAAAATGAAATAAAAAAAGACAATTCAAACTAATAAAAAAATTAGAAATTAGAAAATTAAAAAGAGAAAAAACTTTTCTTTAACGACAATGAAAAAAGAACAACCAATAATTGTTCTTTTAGCCACTCGATTAAAAGGATGTGACGGTGTCAAACTTCTTCGATACTCCCGGCGGCGTTAAAGGACCACTAGAAACGCGATGGTCCCAATTGTCTTTTTTATTACAATAGATTGTTCCGCTAATAAGTAAGAATCAATAAGATCACAAATAGTATCCTGTTTCTTAATTAGATAGAGACTTTAAATATCACCAATAACAACTCTTGGCTCATCAAATAATGGTATTTTTTAATTTTAAATAAAAAACATATTAAATCTCATGAATAAAAATATCAATAAATAAAAGAAGAGGAAGCTTTCCAAAAATCAACTAAATCAGGCCTGAATAGATCAGAACACTTGTCGCATGGAGATCAGGCTTAACTCGATCATTAACAAAGTTATCTCTCTCATATATCTTTTTCAATATATGACAGTTGCAGTAATTAGGCACATTTAGTATTTGTCTAAATCCAATTTCTCCACTTGTCGGATGAGTGGAACCATCGAGCACCACGTCAAGTAGACTGCATAGGATTTGGATCGTGTAGTTTATAATATTTATATATTTAAAATGGAATATGGTTTTTCTCCAATGAGTTATAAGCGTTCAAAAACATTCCAGTACATAATGATTGCGTACTATTTGTGCTGAACTGGATCATCACAGAAGAGGTTTGTGAGAGATGACATCACCTCTGCAATTTTTCATGAGTACATCACACCATCTTTCATGCTATGAAACCAAAAGAGAAGGACGGGACGGGAGAGCGATCTACGTTCTTGGATTACGAGGGATTGGAAATTTCAGGTTCTTGTAATTAGATGTCGACTATAAGTTTTGCTCTGGCATGGCCTGCTTCGATCCGGTATTGTTCACCAATTCCCATGTGAGCCATGAGTAACCAGACATGGGTGAGGAGCTCTCCGCCCTGGCTCAGCTGCTTGGCGTGAGAATACGAGTTGCAGTTGCTGGCCGCATAGCACAACATCTCCACCCACACGGCACTGATGACGATCCACCTCCTGCTCGTCTCCAACTTGTTTAAGTCC